CCCCCCCCCCAAAAAAAAGGCTCTTGCCGTTACGGTCTTATATATCTAAAAGTAGTAAATGTCATTTTTAAAAAGGAACAACTCGGTTTTTTTTATAAAATTATCAGCTTAGTTTTTACTATATCAAAAACTTTAAAAATTTAAAATGTAATCTAACCTGTTGCATCCTCGCCACCCGTACAATCCAACTAGTTTAGCGACCAGAGGGGCAAATAAGAAAGTTCCAGCCCCCGACCCACAAACAGATATCCCTTAGGGATAAAGATATTCTTTAAAGGGACTGTTTACGGAGATTAAAGTGACACTTCATTTTTTACAAAGGTATCATACCTATTTTTTATCATTGATGACAAACAAATTTGAAGATTATGCGTTTCAAATTTAACACGTTAATCGAGGATACATTCTTTATTGTCACTCATTTAGAGGTTAGAGTTAGAGGTATATATTCCTTATTGTTACTCATATAGAGGATTAATGGGCATCCTTTCTAAGGAGCTCCACAAAAAATACTGGTCTACAATTAATTTTAAATTCAAGAATAAAGGCCAATTATTTTATTTTGTTTTTCAGAATTATATATTCTATTCAGCATAAGATCTATATTATTGAAAATCAAACCTGGGATCTACTGTAGCGCACATTTTTAAAATCCCAGCTCTGATTTAATACGGGTGTACCTGTAGCTAAGGACAGTTGTTTATTAAAGTACTGACTCACGCAGACTACTGCAGGTACATACATCAGACCCAAGCCAAACCCTCCCAACAATCCGTAACTGCAGTGACAGAATCAAATATAAAGAAAACAAATATATATGTGGTGCATTGTGTTTCACTTTATTAGGAAGTAAGTTTAAAAAAAACATAATTTTTAATATGCTACCACTGCAAGTGTCTCATTGGTTGAATTTGGTAATATCTGATCTCTGATTAGTCCAAACTCCAAACGTGGACAAATTTTTGGAATATACTTAAGGGGGGTAGTATCACCTTATTTATACTTAATCCTTTTTTCACTTTAGTTGAACAAATATAACAAAAATTATCAATAACAGAAACTGAATCATTAACGATATCGACATATTTCTGACCCTGTAATTGATTCCCTTAATATGATTGATATAGTAGTATTACAATAGCTGGATACAAGAAGGGATACACTGGAAATCAAACCTCCTAATATACAAGTTTTCCTGGTTCCAAATCTAAACAAAAAGGTTGTAAATGAAATAAATAATAGTAAAAATGGAAAATCTTAAAAACGTCAGTTTGCAAACAAGAGAAGGAACATGTTGTTTACTCATCTGTTCAAATCATTTGGGCTTTTAGAGCAAAGACAGTTCACATGCAAAACAGTATTTTTAAGTTCAGCAAACAATTTGAATTTTATTAAAAAAGCATCCCGTGCTCTTTTATATTTGAAACTCCATAAACTTTTATCTACTATAATTCAAAGTGAATTTATGAAAAAAATGTTGAAAAGGATGTTGAGTGCTCCATAAAATATCCCATTTCCCCTAATGTAGAGGGGAAAAAAACTTTGCACATATGACTATTTGATAACAATAAAGAAGAAAATAAACCTGTTACAGCAAGCTGCGGATACAGGTCCGGTCAGCATTGTCATACCTAGTCATTAACATTAAGTTGGTTCATTTTTTCCTATATTTTCTTTCAGGGTTAAAATTTGCCAAAGTGTAAGTGCAAATGTTTTCAAAACTGTTTATTCTAAACATTTATTTGCTTAACTTTACACTATTACACTACTGCCAGAAAAAGTATGCTAAAAACGAGCCGAAAACGATCCAGAAGAATCTAAAAACTAACCTGCAAATAATTATAGTTTTTGTCTTAGGATAAACAAATTTTAAAAAAGCAAAGTTTAACAGAATACAGTTTATCATAATAAAAAAAACGACCAACGGCAATAGCCATACCTGCCAGTGTGCTCCCAACTAAAGATATACTACCAGTGTTACTTTGTAATTCCTGTAAGTATATCATTTTTGAAAAGCCTAAAGTGAAATCTAAACACCCCAAACCCCCTCCCATGCGTAGATAAGGTTTGGTATTGTTTGTAAAGTAACCAAAATTATTGACCAACAATCTGAGGAAAGTGAATTGATTCAATATATATATATACTAGCCTTAGAGGGCGCTTTGCGCCCATCTTCTAAATTAATTGTGAACATGTTCTCTTTAATATACTTCAGTTTTTAACTTCACATTTTTATTAAAAACGAATTATACTAAACATAATGTTTCACGTCTATCATGACGATCCTCAGTAGTTACAATTCTTATATAAATATCGTAAACTAAATGTCTGAGTGATTCCTATCTCTAAACCCAGTTTAATATCATAAAATGTATTTTTTACTTAAACAAAAATTTCTTAAGACAACAAAAACATGCCTTTATTTTGACTAAAGACAGGGCTATATTGATGAGAAAATTCCTGTGGTCATTATAAATTCCTACCATTTTCATTGGTTCGAGAAGAATACCAAAAGAGTATGAAATACCATCCACAACCATATTAATCAAGAAACTGGCTAAATAAAATATTAATGGATTGGGAATCCGGATACTTGAACAGAGATCAGAATTGATAAATAGTGAGAAAAAGTTGAACCAGAGATGGAATTTAAAGAATTTGAGCCGCGGTTTAAATCCGCCAAAACCCGGTTTAAATTAAGCGCCGGCTTGAATCTTGAAACATTTGATACAATTTTAAGTGGAACCAACCATATTTAAACTGCGGCTTAAATTTAAACCGCCGCTCAAATTCTTTAAATTCGGCCATAGGAATATTTAGTATCCACCGCGCGGTCCAAAGAGCTATGCAAATTATGCCTCATCATTTGAGATCAATTAAAACCGGGGTTTGGCAGATTTTAACCGCGGCTCAAATTCTTTAAATTCCATCTCAGATTACATGTTCAGGGTTGAGGTAATTTGACCTAACACCTATTAGGAGGGTGATTCTTAAGCTAAGTGATTCTCTTATTGGCTTTTAAACAGATCCTCTTTCTTTATAACTATAAGTGTAATGGAACTGACATAAATATTTTCCCTACAGTGAACCCCATAACACTATTCGGAAGATGACATTTAGACAATGTGTAGATATTTGATGTTACAAATCAAATAGTTTTACTAGTTTTCTAGAAAAATAGCTCATGTTCAATGGACTATTTAAAGTCATACCTTGAACCATAAAGTTGTCTTCCTATTTCACAGTTTTATGGGTCTCACTGCACAAAAATATCAAATTAATTTGACCTTGTCTGAATGAAGTAATAGATGTTTTTAGTGTAAACAAGTTGTGTCGACAAACATTACATTAATTTGATTTAATGATTCAATATTGAACTTGGCACTATCTTCACATGATTTAAACTTGAACTTACATGTACGTAACTAACACATTAATATTTTTAGAAAACTTATAAAAATGTAAATATTAGCTAGTTTTTACCTATTACGACAACCCATCCATAACCTCCATCCTCCTCTTTTTTTTCCTGTCCTGGAAAAATGTTGGAATAATGTTAGATTTAATTTCAACGTTTATCATCGGAAGACCCACGACCTCCCTCTCGGGCCGGATGCACTCACACTTTTCATGGAAAGTTATTTCCTTTTTAATTAAAAGGCCATTCAAATATTTCAAAAGATGATTTAAGATAAAATCAAATCTTGTTCCATAATTTAGTATTTGTTTTTATTTGAATTTTTTTCTTTAACCTTTTTATAGAGTAAAAAAATTGATTCAGTGACTCAGTCTTTAAAATTTTTGCAACTTTTCATACCAGTCTGGATCTATGTGAGCGGTTTTTTACTTGCAGAACATTTAAATAATGAACTCATCGTCAATGAATAGTTCAACAATCAAAACCATCGTCATAAAGTTTGAGGACACTTATTAAACTAATTGAAACAAATAAAGATACTAAGGTTACTGTGTGCTACCATGCTCTTGTGAAGGTCTGATCCTTTAAAATAGAGAGCGTTTTAAAATTGGTAAGACAACCCTTTTCAACAATAGTTTTTCGAACAATCTTGACCTGGCCGTAATCGCTCCTGTTCTGTTTGATTTCTTGGAGATATACTAGACATCCTAGACACACTAGACACTGGTAGACAATGGTAGACACTGGTAGATATTTAATTTTGTTTTGTTTTTCTGAAACTAAAAATTCATATAAGGACGCTAAGAGATATTTGTTAACGTCATGTATACTTTAGATATGCATATATGATATATAGTTCATACAAAGAAATTGTCATTTTTGTTAAACAATATTTTTTCTAGTCGAAAAACATACACACGTGTCAAATTAAAGTAAATATCATGCGTTCTATTAAAAAACTATCTGAAGTGCTGGGCGTTGCCAGTTAAATTATGAAAAATCTAAATTTAAAAAAAGTCTATTTTTTTTACTATGTTAAGCCACTTTGGTTGAGCCGTTCGATCAGATATAGCAAATATATATATAGATATGAGCGAAGAGCTTTATTGTTTAGATTTTCTCCTTTCATTATATTAGCTTTTGAGTTTTGAGTTTCTAATATGAAACCAAATATATTAGCTCTTCTCAAAACAAGAGGAGCTGCGAGGTCACGATACGTACCAGTAATGTTGCATTTAACTAGTGGAACATGATACCCTTGAGCCTTGACGTTAATCAGGGTTAGATGATAGGCCTTCCAATGCGCCTCAGAGTAAGAATTAAGCTAGCAAAAATAAAACAGAAAAAAATTTCACGAGCAAATTTTACATTTTCAAAGATGTTTTAGCGCCTATATTTAGGTAACCGCCAAAAACGTTCTTTGAAAAAAGTTTTCGAAAATAAAGTCCTAAATTTTGGCACTAAAAAGTCCTCTAGAAAAAAGTCCTTGAAATAAAAAGTCTCTGGAAATAAAGTCCTAATATTTTGAGACTTATTTTCTATGACTTTTTTTCTGGTTCTGTATGGTTTTTTTTCAAATAAATCCCGGGAAAAAAATCCCCTATAGTGGAAAATGAATGGGAACGAAGGATGTTCACAACCATGGAAAAAAGGGACTTGATATTAAAAACATTCCTGGGTATATACAACATGCAGGTGCATAGAAGAAAAGTCCTTTTTAAGAAAACGTCTCAGACTTGAACTCAATTTCCAAAGACTTCGGACTTTTTTTGTTGGTTTTTTTTTCCATCAGATTTATTTTCTTCAGGACTCTAATTCATGTGATCTTATTTACCGAGACTTTATTGGCAGCCCCCATTATTTTAGGAAAAAAAGTCTTAGGAATCTAAAACTCGGGACTTTATTTCCAGCTTGACGATTTGTTCGAGGACTTCAGAAAATTGGGACGTTTTTACCAACTTTTTATTTCCAGGTTTTTTCCCTCAAATCTTTCTTACATAGATTCTATATTTAGTAACAAACATTGTAAGAAAAGACCCGAAAGTTTTTTTTTGTAATGTTAAACTACAAAACTACAAAATTGTATTAAAAATTAAAGATTATATATATATACATATATATATAATTATGCCCCTAATTATTATGTACTTAAAAGACAGTTTTGTTGTATACTTCTGAAACAGATAATATACTCCATACAAATGTACTATTCATAAAAGATGTACTATTATGTAATTCTAAAGAAACTAAAAAATATAAATTTTTGAACTTTATCTTTGAAAATAAAAATCTACACTGTACAGTGTACAAATGTACTTTTAGTTTATAATAGTGCTATGCAGTATATTATAAATTGGAGTATATATAATAAATATGCGTGATATAATTACGTAGTTTTGTACAGAGCATCCCATTTCATATTAGATTATCTCCAAGCTTTAACGCCAAAATAGACACATAATACTTGAAAAACCTAGCATTTTTTAGAAGAAAACTTTTATGTTAACCTTATTCAATTTTTCAAAATGAGTCAAAATTCTTAAATTTTCTGATTAGTCACGAAAATCGTAATTTAGACCCCATGATGTGGATCACCCTGTATACAGGGTTACTCACAAAAGATAAGACTTTACTGGCGACCAAACTTAAACTCCTTTTAATTTCAGCTTAAGTCTTTTTTTGGAGTCACTGTTAGTGGCAACTGTACAATTACAGTTAAAGTTACAGTTACCACTGTAGAGTGAGAACCATAAAACTTTTGAATATGAAGACGACATTAAGCAATAATTTAGTGTATTTAATGTTGTGACAAAGCAACAAGTGTTATAATAGTAACTTTTTAAATCACTTAATAAACTGCTTAAATTTCACAAATGCTGTGTTTGATGTTCATGTGACTATTCAAAAATTTTAACTTTAGTCTAAAATTAATCTTCCTACTCCACAGTTCCACTGCACTAAAAGTAAACAAGTAAGTTTTCCCCAAAAGGAATATAAGAAGCGAAAGTACTGTAGATCATTGATGTATATAGGTTATGAAATATTGACCTTGAACCTAAGTCTAGCTGCCTACCCATGTGATAGTTTAAAGTTTTTGCTTTCATTTAAATTAATTTATCATAATTTCAACTTCAACTATTAACACTTAGTTAACGACTGATTAAAATCGGAGATCTGTTTCTAAATTACGAAAGTAGGGTGCATTAAAATACTTTTTTAGAGCACCATTCTCCCCTTCCAATTGTCATTAAGGTAGGAGTTAAGTTTATTATATTTTTAAAAGAATTTAAAATTTTCATTTTTTTCTTAATTTTTTTTGATAACCTCTAAAAATTGCATTCTGTAAGGACACATTTCATTCCGTTAAAACTGCTTGTAAAATGTCAATTTAAACTTTCTGCATTCTGCATTTTGATCAACGTTATCTATTATTTATCTATTATATTAACTAAACTTTTTTCAGAATCTGTAACCTTAATTTTAACTTTAACATAAAAGATTATTTTAACGTAACTTTACGTTTTTCATCATCTTCTACTGCATCTTTAATTTGATCTTTTATTCTTGAATTTAATTTAGGCTAAGTTTTAACTGTTTTGCTTTATTAAATTTTCTTTTAGGCTTTTCCTCAATAATAAATAAAGTCCTCTTTCTGAAAAATCATGAGTTTTAAATTTATATTTCTTAAATTTCATTCTTTTTTATAATATCACAAACAAAAAATATAATTCACCATATTTTAAAATTCAATTTTCATTCAATTAAGGCATTTGCACTTTTACAAGGCTAGGTATAAAGCATCAACATTTTAAACTCATATCATGTATTGCTACAGGGTTACACACAAAGGATGAGACTTTACAATTACAGGCGACCTAAAATCACGATATTTGAACATTATGTTGTTAATGGTTCGTTTGTATATCCTAAGAGAAAAAAGAGGACAAACTATTTTTTTGCTTTCATTCTAAAATTTTATACGTGCATTTTAAACACTATCCAGCAGCTTAATGGTTTAAACACTATCCAGCAGCTTAATGGTTTAAACACTATCCAGCAGCTTAATGGTTTAAACACTATCCAGCAGCTTGATGGTTTAAACACTATCCAGCAGCTTGATGGTTTGAACACTATTTAGCAGCTTGATGGTTTGAACACTATCCAGCAGCTTGATGGTTTAAACACTATCCAGCAGCTTAATGGTTTGAACACTATCCAGCAGCTTGATGGTTTGAACACTATCCAGCAGCTTGATGGTTTAAACACTATCCAGCAGCTTGATGGTTTGAACACTATCTAGCAGCTTGATGGTTTGAACACTTTCTAGCAGCTTGATGGTTTGAACACTATCCAGCAGCTCAATGGTTTGAACACTATCCAGCAGCTTGATGGTTTAAACACTATCCAGCAGCTTAATGGTTTGAACACTATCTAGCAGCTTAATGGTTTAAACACTATCTAGCAGCTTGATGGTTTGAACACTTTCTAGCAGCTTGATGGTTTGAACACTATCCAGCAGCTTGATGGTTTAAACACTATCTAGCAGCTTGATGGTTTGAACACTTTCTAGCAGCTTGATGGTTTGAACACTATCCAGCAGCTTGATGGTTTAAACACTATCTAGCAGCTTGATGGTTTGAACACTATCCAGCAGCTTGATGGTTTAAACACTATCCAGCAGCTTCGTGGTTTAAACACTATCCAGCAGCTTGATGGTTTGAACAAATGACATAAATCCTCATGGTTACCTACTAGGATAAGGATAAGACTTCAAAGACGACTGTGCGAAAATTTTTTGCTCTTATTTCTTACCCGCAAAGTTCCCTGCAGTACTCTAAACTTGCTTCTTTTTTGGCAAATTATTTATGATACAGGGTGTTCCACAAAACATGACGGTAGCAAGACCATTTGAAAGTTGTCTTTAATTTTGGAATTTATTTTTAACATTTAGTCGACAGCCTGCTTTAACATAAATGATTAATGAAACAATAACCACAATATTCTGGCATTTCCAAAATATGGTCCAAATATGGACTGCCTTTTTTGTGCTGTCTATATTATCAGAGATATTTACAATATCTAAGATTTCAATTTTTTTTTAAATAAAACCAAAGTTGTCGAAATCTTACTTCATATCTCCGGCATTATTGAAAGCTCAAAAAACACAGACCACATTTTTCAAATGCCAGGTCCAGGGGTATTTTGTGATTATTATCTCTAAAATGTTATTTCTAAAATTAAGTTGACAAATGAATGCAGCAAATTAAATCGAAAGAAATTGAGCAGAAAGACTAAGAAACTACAGGGGGTGCCACTGCCCCCCTCCCCCTCCCAAGCCATGAAGGGTTAAAGAAGAATATTATTTAAGAAAATGACGCGGCAAAGATTTCATTATTTTGTCCAAGGATAAACCTCGGGAATTTGCTTGGCTTGACATTTAAACTTTTGCAAAAAATATATATTTAACAACAAGACAAATAATTTTATATGTTAAGTACAGATTACACAGCTAGGACAAAGAAATCCTATTTTCGTGTTAAAAGGGACTTCCAGTGTTATTTTAAGTGACCCTCCGATTATATCCAGTGACAAGTCAGATTCACAGCGGTACCTTAACTTGAAAAAAATATGATTTGGACAATTTTCATTGTTGTTTCTGTATAGCAGAAATCTGCAAGTCTGAAAGCAGATTTAAAGCATTCATTCTTGAGAGGACAAAGCTAGTTCAGGAACGTCTACAGTCCTAGGAACCGCACTAAATCTCTTATTAAATTATGATTTAATCATGCGGAAAAAATGTATAGATTTATTTTATAATGAGACCTGTAAAACTTTGGAATAGTAGAAGGACGAATGATATATTAAATTAGGATTTTAAATAAAACAATAAACATGAAACACTGTAAATTGCTCAGTCTTCAGTTTTATCCGTAATATCAGGAAAACTTGATAAAAAACCTTAAACTTCAGAAGCATACATTCTTATATTTTCTTTCTGTAACAATCTGCAGAAAAATTAAACGTTAAAAGTTTTTTTTTAAATTATAGAGCATTTTAATTCAAAAGTGTAATTTTGAGCAAATGCCTTATTATAACAAACAAACAAATTTCAGAAAATGTTGTTTGAATACAACCGAAAAATATCTTTTTCCTTAAATATTGTTTTCAAAAATACAATTTCATCTGGATCAATTGAGTTATTGTTGTCTTATTAAGAATCATAACTCCCACGTCGAGATACATGAAGTGACGGAGCAAAATAATTCTAAAATAGGAGTTTTTGGTTTGAAAAGTCATGTCACGGAAGGAGACGTTACCATGTGTGAACGTTATCTTATATAAAAGAAGGGATTAACTAGGAGAGGGTGGTAGGTAGAGAGAGGGGGAGGGGTCAGTGAGGAAGTAGTATAACGAGGGGTAGGGGGGGGGGGGGCTTTAGGAAGGGATTACAGGGCAGATTCAGAGTGATTAAGAGAGGTATATTGGGTAAAGAGCACACCTGGAAAAGTGGCTATTATTATTGTTTCTAAGACGGGAAAAAATTGCTCCCCCTCCCCTTTACACACAAATTCCCAAGTGAGACAGTAAATATTTCTGATAACATGCAAAAAGTTAGGGTAAGGGGTCCTGGACAACTGTGAACAGACAATTCGATCGTCTCGTGGTACGTTCTTGGACTTTTTAGGTTGCACACAAATCTGAGCATGGGTAAAAAAATGTCAAAGTTCTCTATTCTAGACATTTGCTTTGCCAAATTTTGACACTGAGAAAATATATGCAAAAAGCGAACCAAAAATAAACCCACAGCGAACTGAAAACGATTGTTTCAACTGATTATTTTTTGTTCGGTTTCCTTAAAATTTTCTCTTATATTAGAATAAAAATAATAAAGAATAAAATCAAAGTTTAACAGAAATTTTATAATTTGGTTTACTTTTTGGTTACAAAAGAGGTAAATATCTGCCCAAGCTTAAAAGCCCAGGAACAATATAAAGTCGATCCGGTCTTAACAGTTGAGGAAAAATTGTCATGACTATAAGTTAACGTACAAATTGTTTCTTTGTGAGAGGGGGCCCTTCATATGTATTGTTGTTCATTATTTAAAAACGACTTACAGATAGAGCGTTTACATGTCTTCACTTTTCCAATTTCATAATTAAAGACATTTTTGCCAAAAAAAATGATTAAGGAAGGGAAGAGGACGGAGAGTCGATGTGTTAAAGAAACATTATAAATAAATCTGGACTTGTTTTATTTGAGCTACAAATCTAAAATTTACTTATTTAAAAAAAATGTATGTAATCAAATAGATTTTCATGGAACTTGATAATCTATTTAAATGTAATGACATTTTGTTAATGTTTGTCAAAAATAAGAACAAAATATAAAATAATGAAGAATAATTTAATTTGAGGAAAAGAATTGTTTTAGCAAGAAAACATTGAAACGAGTATCAATTATGGACTTCTTTATAAATGGAATACCGCTATAAATTATTTGATTTAAACTATCATAACAGATAAATCTCCAAAACTGCTCAGAGTACAGAATGTTTGAAGATGAATTTGTCACAAATTAGAATTCAATATTTCAAATTTAGAGATAGATTGAAAAGAGATAAAAATTCCACCGTTTCTGGTATTTTTTTATTATTTTATCTTTTTGTTTCCATCTTTTAATTGTTCTCCTTCCTTCCTTCCTTCTCAATTAGGAGACTAATATGTCCCGAATGACAATCATTTTTGACGACAGAATTACAGGGAAAAATATATTTTACAAAAATATTTGTAAAAATTTTCAGAAGAAAAACTTGTAGTAGAAACTTAAGAATAAAAATTTGTAAAAAAATTTTTTTTCTATTCTAATTATTTTCTGGTGCACTTAGGATATATAAAGCTGAAGGGTAAGGTTAAGTAAAACAGTTCCTGTAAAGTATTTCTCATGATTTGGTCAGGCGCACCAATTCAACTATATTAACCAGATCTTGACTAGATCAACCATATCTACCAGATCTTGACAAGATCAACAATATCAACCAGATCTTAACTAGATCAACAAGGTCTACCAAAGGATGTTCGGTACTTTCCAAAATGATTTTTGGAGTGGAAATTTCCCAATAGTATTTTCCCAAGTGACAACTTCCCAAATGTGCAATTTTTCAAGCGGCAACTTCGCAAGTCTGTCTTAGCCACAGCAATCGGCCACCCCCCAGTTCGTTCTAGCTGCGTTAATCGGTCCCCTAGCACATTCTAGCCGCAGCGCTTGGCCCCAATTGCAGCCTGCAGCGCTTCAGAGGGTCTAACCTAACCTTTGGGAAGTTTCCGCTTGGATAATTGCACATTTGGGAAGATGCCACTTGGAAAATTGTCACTTGGGAATTCGCCCTTGGGAAAATGCCTTTGGTAAAGTATCTAACATCTACTAGATCAACTAAATCAACCAGATCACCTACTAGATCAACTAAATCAACTAGACGTCGGAACTTATGTGTTAATTGTGAACCTTTGATCTCGATAGCCAATTTGGGCACTTTTGAATTTTCTTGATCCTTTAATTAAAGTTTTCCTTGCAGAGTAAGACCACCACAAATAATCAGAAAGAAATTTTATTAATCCATGGGGCTTGGTGTGCATTCATAAATATACTTGATCCTGAGATTCATTACACATTTGACTTTAGATCAACCAAATCTACCAAATCAACCAAATCAACCAAATCAACAAACATGCGTCTGTATTTGGCTCAGTGCACTGAAAAAAAAGTTTATTCCGATTTGTCTCCTCACTAATAATTAATCATTGTTTAAAATTCATCATTTTGTTCTTAATTTTTGTATTTCTCAAAGTTTTGTAAGAACCGTGAAGATACATTTTTTGTTTGATTAGTCGAGTTGCATATTTCGTTTCAGTTATGCTACTCGACATAATTAACCTAAATCAAAGTTTCAGAGCACCAATAGTACAAAACGCATTATTTTAATGTTTTAAAAACTCATTTTTCCCTGTGTGAAAATTAAGCTTCTAGTTTTTAAACCAAGCGTCCTCTTGTAACGTGATTTTTTTCTTCATATAATCAAACTGCGGTCGGAGTTTTATTGAAGTTCAGTCACGAATGATATTTTCCAATCATGGTTTTAAAAATTGTGTGAGGTGTCCAAAGAAATATATTTTTAAGGGCGGCTCTTCCAACAGCGTCATTGAATGAATTATTTATAATTTGCGCAATAGATTTATTAAAACACATAATAATGATCATAACGGCATTAGAAAATGTGCTTCAGTTATTACTTTGGTGAATATACAGGGTGTCCCAAAAAACATGGGAATTCAGTGACGAATTGGATATCGTCTTTGTTACGAATTAGCATTGTAATACCTAATTTCTAAAGCCATAATATTATTATGTCTGCTAGAGTTTATTTTATGAAAAGGGTAAAAGACTGCAAAGATGTGTCTATAATGTCTCCGCAAGATGAACAGTTAAGACGGACAAGTTTACTCTGTTTGTATACTGTAATTTTCTTGTTTTATTAAGTACACCCGTATGCAGTCAAAACATAAACAAACAAAATGTGAACAAAGCAGACGAAACTCTTACAGATTACAGCTTTCTCAGTAGGTATCACTATACTGATTCAAAGAATTAGCTAAAAAGACGATATCGAATTCGTCACTCAATTCCCATGTTTATTGGGACACCCTGTTGTAAGAAGCAGAAAACTGTGGAATTAGGAAGACGACATTATAGCAATACTTAATTTTTGTATTTGATGTTATTACAATGCAAAAACTTCTACAGTAACTTATTCAGTGAGTTCGAGAAATTTCTGGTTCTCACTGTATCATTTGCTTTAGTTTTCAGAATGAGAGTTCAATGTATATTGTGTATTCTGGTAGTTCTAGTCGGGTTGATAGGGTCTCAGCTTTCTGTTAATCAAGCGCTCATTGCTGGATTTGCAGGTAGACTTCAAGTAAAATCTGAGTAACAACATGGAAGATATCGTCGATTCTTTATCTTTAAGAGAGATAGATTTCGTTTGCTAATTTTCTTGCCCGAAAATAATAAGTTTTTTGATTAAAAACAAGGATATATCAATCATTTTTCCTCAATCAAAGCTTTCTACGGCACTTCTGCTTTGAATTGGGCTTTACTCTTGTTAAGGAAAAAATGTTGTTTATTCCTTTCGCACTGAAAGAGAAATGCATGTCCAGAAATACGAGAAAGCCTTTTTACCTTTATCAAGGAACATCATTCTTGGAATTTCTAAAACCTCTTCAAGGCTGAAAATATTATCTTTTGATTTCATATTTTCGTAAAATATGGTAATTGCAGAAGAAGAAAAACATACTTTTTTTTTTAATCATGTGAGTCATATTTATGATAATTTTATGGCTTTCCTGCTACTTTTAAAAAGAAGTTCTCGTTATTTATAGTGCAAAGCCAATTTATTAAGGCCTTTAAAATTTCGTTTCGAAAATACTAAATGTCGTCGTACTTGTTTCAGTGTTAAATGTCGTCGTACCTGTTTCAGTGTTCAAGATTTTTAACAAATTTGATTATTTCTTGTGCAATATTTAAAAAAAGGCTTTAATTTGCCAAAGGAATTGAGTCTTTGCCAAAATCTCTGATTTTCTTATAATCTAAGTTTGAAATATCAAAGGGTAAGATTCAATTTCTTTAAATTTTATCTGAAGAGTGTCGTTGTAATTTTATGAGAACCTTAAACACTGCACATAGACTGTACATAGACTATACATAGACTGTACATAGACTGTACATAGATTTTACATGGACTTCACATAGACTGTACATAGAGTGTACATAGATTGTACAGAGACTGTACACAGACTGTACATAGACTGCACATGGACTTACATATAGTGTACAAAGACTGTACATAGACTGTAGATATACTGTACATAGACTGTACATATACTGTACATATACTGTACATATACTGTACATTTACTGTACTAGAGATTGTACATAGACTGTGCATAGACTCTACATAGATTGTACATAGACTGTGCATAGACTGTACATTGACTGTACATAGACTGCACATAGACTGTACATATAGTGTACATAGACTGTACATAAATTGTACATAGACTGTAAATAGAATGTACATAGACTTATATAGACTGTACATAGACTTACATAGACTGTAAGTAGAAAGTCACTTAATATAACATACAGGGTGTCACACGAAACATGACAGTTGGTGAATAGTTTTAAATGTCTTCTTCCATTTATTGTATTGGGTATTAAAGACTTTTTGCAGTATATTTCTTTTAAAACCATCTTTTTCTTTTCTCAAGCTTATTTTACTTTGAAATAAATTTTACTATAATATGATTGCCATATAATATGTTTTTATCAGTCTCATTAGTATCAAACAACTTAACTAATTATGGAAGAAGACATTTTAAACTACTCACCAAACCAACTGTCATGTTTCGTGGGACTCTCTGTATATAGTCTAAGCTGATATCAATTACAGTTGCAATTAAAGTAACATAAATAATTTTTGATTTTGATATTCCCATTTAAGTGAACAGTCTAATTAATATGAATTGTTTAGGTTTAGCACTAGCAGCTGGTCTTGGAGCTGGAGCTGGAGGACTCCTAGGTCTACTAGGTCAGTACAGTGATGACCAAAATAAAATCAAGGAAAGTCATCTTTGTTCCTTCTTTCAAATGGATAAATCACAAAATATAATTTGTAATTTGAAATGGAAGACGTATCCCTAAATATGTTAAGAGCTAGAAACTCTTGCGTTGGATACCCTTCACCCCTTAATTAGCTTAATCTCGAGATTAATCCGCTTTTGATTTTCTGTTTAATTCTCTATTTTGGATATCCCTGCTGGGTTCAGACCAATGAAAATTCTCTCTCTAGTTGTGCGCAAAATTTCCCGACTTTTCATTGATTCTTCGGTTTCTGCAAACGACAACACTTTGATTGGTTGAATTTTATTCCCTAATTAATCTGCAGATTAGCTAAAAGAGTTCGTATTTAAAGAGCTAAAATTTACATATTACAACATCTTTAACGACGTTTCTAATTTACTGACTTAAAAACACACATCAATCTTTTTGCTAATTATTTCTAAGAGAGATGCACAACGTTCCGATCATGAACAGCAAATTTTGAAAATTATCGATTCCGTTAACAAACTAAAAAATAGTTAGTTTTACAGATTGTTGACGAACAAAGCAAAAAAAATTAATTAAAAAAACCTTAACGGATACTTAACAAATAGTCTAAAAAAAGTTCGAAGTCGCTAGTGTGGAGCTCAATCTGCCTTATTAAGAAAAGAAAATTATGTTTGAGATTTAATTTGCTTAACCGTATAATTTGTGAAAGTTTTTTCCATAGTAAAGCCTAGGCTACAAAAGTGAGAAAAAAAAATTTCATATTTATTTATTTCAGCTGGAGGAGGTGGCGGACAAGAAGCACAGCCACAGTATCATATTTACGGCGGAGGCTATGGTGGAGGACATGGCGGAGGCTATGGTGGAGGACATGGAGGGGGAGGTGGCGGACATGGTCACGGATACAGGTATACAGTTATAGTTACAGATACAGTTACAGTTACGGTTACGGTTACAGTTACAGTTACAGTTACAGTTACAGTTACAGTTACAGTTATAGTTACAGTTACAGTTACATTTACAGTTACAGTTAGAGCTACAATAACAGTTACAGATACAGTTACAGTTACAGTTACAGTTACAGTTACAGTTACAGTTACAGTTACAGTTACAGTTACAGTTACAGTTACAGTTACAGTTACAGTTACAGTTACAGTTACAGTTACAGTTACAGTTACAAGTTACAGTTACAGTTACAGTTACAGTTACAGTTACAGTTACAGTTACAGTTACAGTTATAGTTACAGTTACAGTTAGAGCCACAATAACAGTTACATTTACAGTTACAGTTACAGTTACAGTTACAGTTACATTCATAGTTACACTTACAGTTACAATAAAATTTGAAGTAACAGGGTGTCATGTAACCACCCCCCCCCCCCCCCCTTAGAAAATTGATTTAAAAGGACTGTTTATCTAGGAGGAGACAGGGGTCCCAGAATATGGTTCAGAAATTTTTTAACCGAGGGAAGCGATCCATTGATGTTAACTCCAGCAGTGAAAACCAACTGTTTGAGGTCTATTTTAAAAAACAGTAAAACCCGTAAAATGTTGATAGAGGTAGACGACTGTTTTGTTTTGTACATGCCACACAGAAACTACTGTGGAGTTTGCAAGGAACCATTTCACTAAAAAAGTTGAATTTTAAACTACTGTAGTAAAACTACTTGCTTTATATAACATCAAATACACAACAGATTGATTAAAGGTCGTCTTACTTTTACAAAGTATAATGGGTTCCACATTTAGAAACTGTCATGTTTATATCTTCATGACCAACACTTTTTTAACTGTAGTATTTTATTGCTTTTTTATTTTTGTTCATACTAATTACATCTTTTGATTAATTGGATATACTTCTTATCATGATTTTTCATTGCTTTTATTATTACAGATGATTGCTGAGATTGATGAAAAGGATTGTGGCAAACGATATATTTGTGAGCTAAAGTAAGTAGTAAAATATATTATTAGGGACTTAAACGGTTTTATATTATAAAATCTTATCACATTAAAAAGTTTTAATATTTTCAATATTATCACGCTGCAGTGGATAAAATAAGTTTTTATTTTATTAAAGATTGGCAAAGGATAAAATAGGTTATTTATATTTTATTTACAGGGTGGCAAAGGATAAAATAGGTTATTTATATTTTATTTACAGGGTGGCAAAGGATAAAATAGGTTATTTATATTTTATTTACAGGGTGGCAAAGGATAAAATAGGTTATTTATATTTTATTTACAGGATGGCAAAGGATAAAATAGGTTATTTATATTTAATTTACAGGGTGGCAGAACAAAATTTATTCCCTGAAGAAGCAGCGCTCTTGGAGAAAATAGAGGTAAATGCCTAGCCTTAATTTATAAAAAGTTAGTATTGGTTTATTTATTAATATCACTTACTATTGTTTTCTCTATAAGAAAGTTTAGCCCATGTTTACATACAGTTAACGAAGTACTGGGCCTAACTTTCCTATACGAGGACGAAAATGTTCAATTCTAAGGTACTGAGGTCATTTGACGTTAGTATCGTGAACGTACTACCTTAGAACGGAACTTTCTATCCTTGTATAAGAATTTTGACCACCGTTGAAATACAGTGTGGGTGGTAATGTTTAAAGCTGAAAATGAAAGCAAACAAATTCCAATGTAATATAATGACAGCACTTTATATAATAACTTACTCTATTAATAAGATATGAAATAATTTTTTTTTTTAACCGAGCTTTCCTCCGTTATTTACATAAACGATGTGTACAGAGGAAGAAAAATTATATGCACAGAAGAATTAATATGTTAGGTATCAACATGAGAATATATATCTTTTAAACAGGAGAATGCAAATGTGATATACAGTTTGTAAAGGGAAAAAATATGTTATGTACAGGAGAATGACGAAGGAGACAACGCTAAGATATTGTACAAGGATGCTGCTTACTACGGAGCATTTGTACGATCTGAGCAATCCTGTGCAGCGAGGTAATGCACAATTTAACCCTGTCATCAAAAAGTTTCAAGATTGCTTTTAATCACTGTATACTGTCTTTTTTACAAAACTAAGTGTTTTTGATATATCTTTGCAACCCGATGTAGTAGACCCTATATATTTCAAACAATTCTGTTATATCGAGTAATCTATGTTTAAAATAACAATGATCCATACTATCAGGTTGTAAAGATAAATAAATACGAAAAGGAATTTAGTCTTTGCCACATACTCTGATTTTCTAATCACTATATCTTTGGAACCAAATGTTGCAGACTTTAGATATTTCAATCTATGAATTCTGTTAGATCAAATAATCTGAGTTTGAAATATCAAAGGTTTACAACATCGGGTTCTAAAGATATTGAGGTTTAAATATTTGATTTTGTTCCAAAGACTTTGTCGCCAGAACTCAGTTCCAATTAAAACATTCACAGATAAGAATAAAAACGAAGTATGTGTTTGGAATAAAATAAATTTAAAAGTGATAATTAATTTTAAATAAATTTGTTTCTCATTTAGATTTCGTAAGTGTAGCGTAAAGACCTCTGTCCGAACTATGGTGGAAACGAAAAAACAACAGATTTGAAGAAATTATCTTGTTTTGGAAAAATATCGAAACATTGCCTCTCAACCATTTTTTGTTTCTTATTGTAAATTGAATTATTAAAGTCTGAGAAAATTTGCAAATTTTTCAGGAAAAGGACAATTGTAGCCAGTCAAATCTAGTCAAATCTAGTCAAAACAATGTGCATCACTTTAAATTCGTACAAATGTACTAGTTTTAATTCAATAATCAGAATTTTACACTTTAAAATTTGTGTATAACCAAAACCATATTTATCTATAGTTTAAATGTATTTATTAAGTTTTATTAATTGCTAGTTAAAAATAAATGTGATTTGAAAATATTAAAAAACATTTTTTTGTTGATTCACAGTCTTTAGTGACAGGAAGTTTCATTTCAGTAGAAAATTTTGCAATTTTGATATGTGTAATTTTAGTGATAATTAAATAAATAAATACAAGGTATTTAGGACGCTTCGTGGCCCCTTTCCTATATAACATGCTGCCCTGAAATTGGTTCTTATTTAATCATTCTCAAGTTTAGATTGGCGCATTTTAAAAAAAATAATGATTGTCGACATTTTTTTCGGTAAAAATTATTCAATTTTAACTGACCATTACCTTTACTGAGGTCATGTGAGTTGAGGCAACAAATTTGGGCCCGATCGGTTCAGCCGTTCTGACGTGTATTACAGTTCTACAGTTTAAATATTCGCAAATGAAGTTTCTGCCAAATATTTGTTCACAAATAATTCCTGTGCCCCTACACATGATTGCAGTACTCTGTGTTTGAATTTCTAAAGATCAGAAACTTTGAAAACTATTTTTTGTTGTATTTGTACAATACAAAGAACAAGATAAAATAGATATATATGTTTTTTTGACCCGCCTAACCAGAGTAGGTTGTTTTAATTTGTTGACCAATAATTGGTGGGAATCACGTAGATGTATAGAGATGAATGTTCGCACAAAATCTATGATAAATCAGGGAAAAGTTCCGAGATTTTCGATGGAATTCCATATTTCTAGAAATAGTTCAGATGGAAAACAGTCCAGCTATGTATCAAAGGCATGAGTTTGTATTATTTGGCTCTTTAAACATATGATTTAATTATATGTGCACGTCAAGATTAAGAAGTTCTAATCGGAACAATATTGGAATTATGAACTGCCCTAAATATTGTTTAGGCCTTGGGAACTATCAGTTTGTGGAGAAATTCGTTATTTTTGTTTGCCAAAACCAATAAATAATACTTATTTTAGAAGGATTGGGTTAGTCTTATACATTTTACGGATTTCACCGTTTGATGTAAGAATTTTATTTTATATTTATGCTCAGTTTAAATTTTTATTCTCTATCTACATATATATGTTGCCTTACAAGTAAGTTATAAACTATTAGATGAATTTTTAACTGTAGCAAATTGCTGATTCAGATCGAAAATTGGATTAGTAACACATTCAATTTGATAGTCTCATGATTTGAGAATTTATAAAATTTGAGTTCCAAAAAAAACATTGACTCAGTCAATTCCTTTTCTTTCTAGACTCCCTTTTCCAATTTTAATTTTCAAATCTCAGGCTCGTAAAATATATTTTTATTTATAATATCTTAAACTAGCATGCTTTGAAAACATTCAGTATTATGTTAATAAACCGTGATATTTGATATTTTGATTTATTTTACTTAACTTAATAAACATCAAAGCAAAGAGTTAAAGTTCCAGTAATCCAATAATGGTGAAATATTTTAGTTTTACTCTTTGCTTTCTTATTTTAGCTAAGGCAAGTTTTTTATCTTTAACAACCCATGTATATTGAGCAGTTTGTAGTAGAAACTAGGGCTAAAGTCCCCTTACTGGGTTGTTTCTGTCAAAACTTATATTTTCTTTTTCTGCAGAATTTTTTTTAGAACTGAAAATCTTAATAATTACAAAAAAAAATCTATAAGGGATTTTTCATAAATTTAACATCTTTATGTGTGTATTCTTTTTTCCCCAAATTTTTATGACCTTTGATCTGTTTTTAGGATTAAATTATTTTTTCATAGAAATCAGCACCAAAGTTTTATCTTATAGAAGAGAAGCCAGAAGGTAATACACATAGGAGTTAGATGTTTTATTAAATCACAGAAAACGATAGTTTAGTTATCAGATTTAGAGTTTTTCACATAATGAGCAATTTGATACAATATAACACAACGAACTTATAGAACATTGTTACAAAATAAATAATTTTGTGCAAAAAATAGTTTTTTTTCTGGCAAAGTATAGACTATAGAAGTTGTCTAACTTATTCAGTCCATTCAAAAATTCCAAACTCTATTAATAACAAAGCATTCTGTTTATTTATACCTAGCGTGGGAACCAATAAAACTGTGGTATAGGAAGACAACTATTACACTCAAGCTATAATTTTATGTTGTCCAATAAACATTTAAAAAAAACAAATATTGCATGCATATACACACTACATAGATCCATTTCACTTAATGAGTTGACTTTCAACAAACTACTGACTAAACTAGTTGTGTAATAAATGTCGTTTTCCTATTCCAAACAATATTGCTTAAATGTCGTCTTCCTATTCCAAAGTTGGCCCCACTGTATTTTAATCTTTGTTCAGAAAAAAAATCTGGATGTACTCCATGCATAGAACAAGGTAGCTTTATTCTAGATATTAGAAAAATGTTAAAATGCAAAATAACGGGAACAACTTTGTGACCTTGTACTTCCCTAACTCAGATTTTGTGGATGGATATAAGAAATTTAAAACTTTTTTATTAATCTGATAGCTTTTCAGAGCTCATGCATGTAGAATTTCAATTTGAAATTAAATTACCTTTAATTTTAATTCACACACTTTCTGTGGAATGCATGGTATACTGTACTTGAAAGGAAGAAAAGACTTTCACTTAGGTAACACCAATATCATTAAATAATTAGGTATAAATGAGATATCCTGGTTGAAATTTTTTTTTTCAATTGTAGTTTCACTAAAAGTGTCTTACTATTTCTGCAACAGAAACAATGGATGAAAATGTTTGAATTAAAGACCTTTCAAGTTAAACACGACAATATTTTCCACGTTATTAATCAGCTAAAGATTACATGGGTACCGTTTTGAATCATGCATGGGTACCGTTTGGAATCATGCATGCCCTTCTCTAAATAAAGATTCCAGGGAGTGTTTGTTAAAAATGAAAAGGGGTATATAGGCTGATCCCGATTGAATTTAGTTTTAATCGCTAATAACTTTGTTTCTATCTGTTGCGTATGAAGGGGGAAAATGGTAAAGAACGCCTTATGCCCAAGACAGTAGAATCTTTATAAATTCACGGGGTTACATTATTCCTCCCAAACCGTTTAAAAATCAATTAAATTTAAAACTAGTCATTCAGATATTACAAGTTTTAAATGTCAAATTCAATTAAAGACATTCATACATGTATTTACAGGTCAAAATAATCTTTTTATTTTTATATTCAATGCAATTGGAAAATAATTATTTGGCGACTATAGGTGTATCCTTTATCTAGCTTTCGATATTTCAGCGATTTCATGGCAGTTGTCCAAATTATAAACACAAATATCTAATTCATACTTGATCAGACAAAGCATTTAAGGTTAACAGAAAACTAATTTACTGTTAGTATATAACACAAAGCTGGTCAGTTGAAATTACTCTTACAGTCCCTTTAATTTTATATTCTGCATCATCTTTATTTTCTGCAGGTTACACAGAACCTCCGCTTGAATTCTCCATGAAAAACTGGATAAGTCTGGTTCCCCCCTGCAGTATTCTAAAATGTATATCACCGAAGGGTTTAAAGATTGATGTTGAAAGAGAGATTACGGGACCGGTGAGAGTAAACGGTTATAATATTACTGATGATGAGCATAGCAGAGCACTTAACGGAGAGAAGGTAATTCATATCGATTCACAAAACTATTATCCTTGGCTGAGTCCTCTCTGGAATTCTTGATCTCGAGATCCAGTTTCGGCACTTTTAATTTGAGAATTAATGCTTTATCTCAACATTTAAGTTATTTTTCCCCTGATCAAAGCTCTCTTTATTTCATCAATTGACTCTTTACGATTATCATATCAAGTACAGATTAAATTAATCTAAGCTAAAAACTTTAGAATGGTGGATATTGAAATCAATGCTAGATTCTCTCTTTTTTTTAATCTCGAGACTAACCTAATCTTGTGTTTGTATCCTGAAAAGTGTAATCAATTTAACCAATCAGAGTGACGTATCAGAAGCTGGGAAATTAAAAATTGAAACTACAGAGACGGGAGAGAAGAGCTCTCTAATTTTGAAAAACCGGTTTTTGATTTGGCTGTACTTTTGGTGTCATATCAATTGTACTAATGTACTCGATTGGACTAGCCTAAGTTTGAACCAATGTTCATCTGGACTATAAAAGTTAAAAATAAATGTATTCGAACGATGCATTTTTATTATGTTCCTATGCATATAATGTTTAAATTGAATAAAAACCGGTTTGTCAACAGCTTTTGCAATTTAACGTAATTGTTCAATCTGATTAGTTCAATCGATGTAGCATCATATCTGTATTTGTTGTAAAACGTAACTTTAATTCCTTTAATTCAGTAGGGAGGGATATTCAAAAAGAGAGGATTAAGGAGAAAATCAATAATGTGTACATCGGATGATTGGATACTCAGATTAAGCGATCAGGATTAAGGGTATCCCATTCTAAAGTTTTCAGCTCTGCAGATTTTAATCTGAATCTAATTTATTGAAATTGTAATCTAAAATAGCCCCCAATTTTAAAAAGGCTGATTCACAACGGACCTTATGATCCTTTATCTGATCAATAATGTTGAAAATATTCTAATTTTTTCACCTGAATATAGTGTGCCGTATAATTCGAGTGCCGGGAATTTCCAATTTTTTTCTGGATCAATTTTGATCGGTAAAAACTTTACAGAATCTTTTCTGGAGCTGTTAAGAATGTTATACCATAAAAACTTTTGAAAATTAAGGACAGAACCTTTTTTACTGATGTTCTACTAAATATGCCCCGTGCCTATAGATGCACTCATGTGACATGCTGAAAAAAGTTTACGGGACGATTATTCCGGATTAATTTCATACAAAATAATCGTACCGCTGTTTTATCTTTCAGAATGTCACACCTAGCTTTGTGCAGATTTATTCTGTATTCGGTTAAGAAAGGTTTGCCCATTAATTTTCGTAAGGCATTTACGGATCCAAATTAACCAAGAAAAATTGGAAATTTTATTCGACGCTTATTTAAATTCAAACTGAAGATTCAAACGTTCACTTTAAACCCCTTAGAAACATAAACAATTGAGCCTAAAAATTTTTAACTCTGAACTTTTAATTGTTTGATTTGTTAAACCTTTAAAATTTGTAATCCTTTACTCTTTGTTAGGTTGTAATTAAAGGGAATGAACACAAAGCTGACACAGTGCTCTCATTTTCTGGAAGCAATATGGTGCTCAACGGAACCATTTTCCCAGGAGATGATCTGAAGGAAAAATATAATTGTGATGCTGGAAATATGTTCTTTGCTCTGTTTTGTGCTGAAAAGAAATAAACAATAATTAAAGGGCGTGGTCGCATTTTTCTTAATGGTGCGTCACAAGTTTTACAAGGGAATTTGGACCTCCCCCCCCCTCCACCCTGGCAATTATTATTATTATTATTAACTATTGTATATTTAAACTCTTTAGTTTAATGTAAACCAGAAATATTTTTGCAATTATATAAAAAGCCATGGTTATAACTGTTTAAACTTTTATAAGAGTTCACGCGCACGGCGGGTTTAAAAAATCAAAATTAAGTTTTTTTAAAGAAAAACATGGGGGAGGTAAGGGGACGCCTCCCCCCATGAAAATTGGGAAATGTATTCTCCCATGAAAGTTCTGAACGCTGCTTTAAGAGAGAGGGGGCAGCCATGGCTTTTTTGATTTAGAGATGGGTTTCGTTTTTGTAAATGAATGAAATTTTTGAAAACAAAGGAATTTTTTCGTGAACGATGGGTGTTGTTCAGAAAAATTAACAAACGATAAATGAACGAATAAGATCAGTCAGACTCAGACCGTTAATGAACTATCGTTAAACTTATAAAAACTTCGATAGTCTTTAAACTAAAATTTTCTAATTCGCCCCTGTTTTTTATCTTAGTTTTCTAAGTGTTGCTATCTCGTTGGAAATGCGCCTTATTCAAATATGCAAAAAAAAAGATAAAGGATCAAAGTAAAAAAAACAACTGTACTTAACGTCACAGCTACAGGGTGTTCCCATAAACATGCAGGAGCAGAGGCGTACACAATAATAGATAGATAGATAGATAGATAGATAGATATTGGACTTAGATAGATAGATAGATAGATAGATATTTGACTAAATATTTAATTAAAAACAATTGCAATTGCACAATTTACATGTTGAATTTAAATAAAACAAAATATTGAAGAATAGAGAGGAAAAGAAGAAGAAAGGATCGTAATAATAATAATAATAATAATAATAATAAGAATAATAATAATAAATATATACTTTGCTTGTCTAGGTTTTTGGGTGTCTGTTCGTTTGTTTGTATCCAATAAACGTCCAAACGGCCAAAATTTTGTGTAGGAGCTCGCGTGACGCCAGGGAAGGGTTATTGATGATCGAATTTTCAAAAATTTGCCTCTAACAAAATTCAATCTTTTAAAATTATGAAAAATCTAAGAAATTTTATTTCTAAAATTCGCGATTTTTATTGTTTTGTTTTACTATGTGTTCAAAGAGAAAATGTTCACACTGAAAAAGAAGATGGGCGGAGCGCCCTTAAAGTCTAGTTTTTTATATCATATTTATATCAAAATGGAAAACATTTCTTAATTCCCATGTTATTTTGGACACCCAGTTTTAGGGGCCTAGCTAAAGGTACAAAATAAGGAATTTCAAACTATGAATGTGCAAAATTAATTCTTTTTATATCAAACAGTTTGTTTCGTAAAAACTGTGGTTTTTGTGTGAAAAATATCCACCCCGGCTCTAGATGCATTTACTCGCCTAACAACAGGGAGAAATGCACATTAGGGTAAACCCGAAAGATAAAAATCGAAATTTCAACATAACTATTAAAACAATACAGAAAAAAACAAAATTCTTTCAGAAACCTAAACTGGTATTTTTTTCAGTTTTGGTAAAAATTAATTTCGAGTCAACACTACTCGTAATAACCCTTTCCTTCTAATACCGGTTTTAATCGAAATCAGGCTAGTTACTAGTAGCAGTTCAAGTGTTACGGCGTGTTCGTGACAATAGTAAATATTAGGACCAGGACCTATAGTATTAACTACGCAGTAACATACGCAATATATTTATTCTTTGCATTCATCCGAAGCATCATATGTACTTGGAATCATATATTGTCCAACTCTTACATATGATTGAGTTGGATTAAATATCTAATATAATATATTATATGTTTAAACCCAACTCAAGCTGCCAACGAGCCTTTAAAACACGAAAAAATATGTTTACTCGTAAGATATTTTATCATATATATTGATTGATATAATACATGTTATTACATATATATTGTTCTGATTATTGAAGCTTAAACCTATGATATAAATAACCCAGCGTTACCCATTCCAAAAATTCATATAATTTTCACGAGGGGAGTTACGATTGATAAGATTCTAATCTAACGTGCAATTTAAATTTTTAAATATTTAAAAAATGATTTTTTTTCAGAAAATGGCGCAAGAACCGATAGATACTAACTGCATGACTCTGACAAGATGGATTCTAGCGGAGCAAAAGAAATATGCTCCAACAGGAACAGGTTCATCATTTAAACTTACTTCGCGCCCCTTTTTTCCTTTTACCTTTTCAGGGGCCTGGATTTCGAGAACTTTTTTCCAAATTTCAGTATATATTATTAGTAAAGTATTAGTAAATTATTTCTGTATAACAAAATTAGTTGTTCCCCGGCCAAAATTTAATTTGTTTTCACTTTTAGAAATAAACTTATGAAACATGGGACCATCTTTTTTGTATTTTAAGTCTTGCTGGATTTACTATGTACGTGGGTGCTTTAACAGAAGGCCCTTAATAAACTTATTATGGCCAGCCACTTCTCTTTCCAATTCTAAATTTCTAATAGGAATTTTTTTAACAACTTACTGTAAACAGGCTTCTGAGTCTTTGTTATTCTCTTTTTACATTCTGTTAAAAAATAAATTTTTCAAGTCAAAATTTAGGAGATTTTACGCAGCTGTTAGCCAGCCTACAGACAGCTGTTAAAGCTGTGTCTGCCGCTGTAAGACGAGCAGGAATATCCGACATGTTTGGAGTTGCAGGAAATGTTAATGTTCAGGTAATTCAATAAAAATAGTAGTTTGGTGAGGGGAGAGAGTTCAGGTAATTCAATGAGAATAGAAGTGAGGTTGGGGGATAGTGGTAAGTAAAGGTAATTCAATATGAGTAGAATTGGGGTGGGAAGACTTCAGGTTATTCATAATGAGTAGGAGTGATTTGTGGGAGTAAGAGAAATTATAAATCTAGCTTTTAGAAATAATTTGCAGATTCTTAGAAGAGAAAGTTTTCATTTGAATAACATATGATCAATTTGGTTTCTCAGTAACTAAATTTATGAATAATGAAATTGATGAAAAATTTTATTTTTTGTTTAGGGTGAGGAAGTAAAGAAGCTTGATGTCCTGGCCAATGAGTTGTTCATAAACATGCTTAGGAAAATATTAAAATTTTAAAAATACCATCCCCCCCCCCTCCTCTCCACTCCCCTGTTCATAAACATGCTTAGGAAAATATTAAAATTTTAAAAATACCAACAACCACCTTTAAGGTGGCAAGTTATTAGATAACTGTCTTAGCGAGGAATAATTATCTTGAACTGAGGAACTAAACCCTTCAAATCTTGAGTTAAAGAACATGTTGTAATTTCACAATTCACTTGAAATAATGCGTACAGTCCCTTTATTTCTTTATAATGAAATCCCAGCTCAACTAATTCTTTTTCAACTAGAAATGTTCAACTCCGACTTAACTGCAACATGGTTTTCAGGAGAACAATAACGAGATCTTAGATCAACTAAAATCTTAATTAATTAAAAAAATCTTTGTCTCTGACTTAGCCATCATATTTATCAGGAGAACGATAATGAGATAGAGGTTGAGACTGAGAGACAAGGGAAATATATTGTAACCTTTGATCCTTTGGATGGAAGCTCGAATATTGACTGCTTAGTGTCCATAGGTCAGTTCAGCTTCAGGGGCGTACACAGGAATTTGTTTTCCGAAGAGGGGGGGGAGTGCCCCTCTGGAGCCCCATATCCCCCTGTGTTCGCCTTTGTTTAGCATAAGTACTTATTAGAAGTTTCAAGGTAAAAGCGTCAAAAACGAGATTGTTAGAGCAAAAAATTTCTGCCGGTAATGCAGTATGTACACTGTACAATGAATTGGAAAGTCGAGCATTTGTAAGGCTGTTTTGATTAGTTTTAAATAAGGTTTACTTATTTTCTATACGGATTGAAGGGGATATTAAAATACTCAATTCTCACTTTAAGATTCTTGGTTTTCGGAATTGGTATAAAATGATTTAATACACAAGAATAGCCTTTACTTGAAAAAGCCGACATTTAAAATTTTCATATTTTCAGGATCAATCTTTGCGATCTTTAAGAAGCCCCATGACGAGCCACTCGCACCCGGAGATGCTCTTCAGTCTGGAAGGTATGAAATGTTAGATTGAAATATTTCCTGTCGTTCATTGGTCCCTTCTCCGAGAGAATTTTGCATACATTTGACCTTTCCATATCGATAGATAGGACTAGGAGTATGCAAAGACTTTGCTAATTAAAGAAAGCGGCATCAGAAAATCTACGAAAAATTGACGCATTATCTGGGGTAGAGAAAGATAGTAACTAATGTTGTCTTCTCCAGAAATCCTGTGTATATTTACCCTGCTGACGTTTCACAATGTCGTCTTTTGTAATTGTAATGAATTAAATAGTTATTTAAAAACAAAACAAGGAAACAACTTTAGTTTTTCTATCTTGAAATATTTAATTTGTCCATAAAAGGAACTAGTGAAAAGACGATGAACATAATTTACAGAATTCATTACTTTTTAAGTTGAAATAACGACGATATCTTCCTCATTGTTACCCAGATAAATGTTTAAATGGTACCGTTGTTGATAGGACCTGTAATGGGTTGGTAACTTGAAATTACATTTATCTTTTAGAACATTTACTTTTGGTTTGAAGTATATTAAGTGTTTATAAGAAGAAAATTAATTAACAGTAATCAATTATCTCATTACTTTTTCATTCAAGATTGAATTCTCTCTCTACCTGATTTAAATGAATTATTGAAAAATATAATGTCACAATATTTGTTTAACATTGTAATAGTTTTTACAAAATCGGGATCTTTCAGCGATATTAAGCGATATTATTTCGTTGCCCAAGATTAAACAGAAGACGACATTTACAAAAGATTTATTCACCGTTTATAATATTGGAAATTTCTGGTCCCCTCTCTTCTTCATTGCCTAAAATTCCATTCCATAGTACCTCAGGAAAAATATTTGACATCTGAAAATTTTCACGAACAATTATTGGCTTTTTTTTAATACAAAAGAGATGCGGAACTTTATCACAAATTCAGCTATAAATTACCAGACGATTCTTATATCCAACAAATGATTAAATAAATTTTAAAATACAAATAAATATCGTTAATTTTAGTTATTTTTTAGCACAAAACATTCACAATTATGTTAAATATCTAAGGTTTTAATGTTGATCGTTAGACTCTCAAACAACCAAAATAACCAATGACGTCAAAATACAGCTGTACAGGCGTACACAATAGTCGGATAAATTTCCAACGCCTCGTCTTTATAATTAGCAAAGTCTTTGGGAAAATTCTGTAAAGAGTAATATGGCTAAGATTAAAAATTTGAGACTTAAAGGTTTATTTAATCGCTCACTTCAAGTTTTTTGGGGAACTACATATTTTTTTGTGCTATAGGATGAGTCGAGTTAATCAACAGGCGCTAAATTTGTTTTGCCCTCTTGGACGTTTTTTATTCCTCTCTAAAATTTAATGTAGTCTCCTGCAGACAATAAGCAATCTTCCGTCCTTTTAATTTTCCCCCACCTTTCTCATGGTGACCTTTCCCCCTTCATGTGGGTTGCGGGAAGACCCGCCAACCACTTGAAAAATGCATATATACAGGGTCACCCACAAGGGATGAGACTGTCAAGACAACTTAAAGCTCTTTATATTTGACAATTTCAAGTTTAAATTAAGTCTTTTGAATTAAACGGCTAATTTAATAATTTGTAACAAAAGAAAAACGTTTATAGTTGCAGTTTTAATAATTTTCATTCCATATTTTTAATCTTCGACAAAGCACGAGATAATACGAATAAAAAATCACAATTTACTATGCAGCTTGGACCCGCCTAATCATAATTGGTTGTTTTATTTGGTTGTATAAAAGGAAACAGACTGAATCAATTCTGTAAAGTGGTCTTTGAACTAGTATCATTCTTTGTTGGGTAACAATGTAGCTATAATTGTTGTGGGGGTGGGGGAGCGATTTTGTTTTTAAAAGAAACAAATTTTTTCACTTTGTTAGGGGAAAATATCCTTTTTCAGATGAGGCTATGCTATTGTTGTAACCTATCACTGTCCACTCCTGATTTTAATCTTTGCCCAAAAATCTTTGCCTCTCTGTGAACATAGATAATCCCCGTTTCTCGACTACGAAATGTGCACCCTTCAGAAGGTGGGTGGTAAGCATAGTAAAGGTCGCAAAGTGTTATGAATGCCAGAAACATGCTTAAAACAGTTGATTTAATGAGAATCGATACCCATTTTGTAATGTATATATAAATAAGATAAATATCTGTTTTCTCTCGAAATATACAGTGTTCATTTCATCAAACCAGTATTCATTGTTCAGGCAAATAATAGCTGCTGGGTATGCCCTATACGGTAGTGCTACTATGATGGTACTGTCCGCTGGGCACGGAGTAAACGGTTTCATGTTGGATCCATCTATCGGAGAATTCGTTCTGTCAGATCCGGATATGAAGGTCAGTTAGTTCATACATTTGAACAAAAATTTGAAAATTTTATATTTGTCTTCAATTTGAATTTTAAATCTTTTCAGATTTTCAAATAGATAATTTATTAATTAGTTTCTAGAGATCGTTTAACATGTTTTCATAGAGAACTGCCTAAAAAGGTGTAGAATTGCACACGTCAAATACTTTCATGAATAATTATGAATTTCACTCCTTCTTCCCAAATTAATAATTAACAAGCTCTACTTAAAAAATGTTATCCCTTTAACGCAGTATTTTTATTAATGCAACAGAATTCGTTCTGCATTTATCTGTTGCTATGTGATAAAGTTTTGAATTAATGTATCTCAAATTCAAAAAATACCAATAGATGCATGCTTTTACATATTTATTTAACAAAGATAAATGATTAATCCGTAATTGAATATTGAATAACTGAAATAAAATCCCTTGGGGGGATCAGCTGATGCACTGTAAAAATAGGACTCACTGTAATAGTCTAGTTATTAAGACTTGTTGATCTTAAAGAGATCTACACATGAAATGTAGTAATCTAGACAAAGTATCATGGGAAGATAAGTTTAATATTGATTCACTATGATAATTTAAATAATCCTTATGAGAAAATATATTTATTCACTGTAATAATTTAGATAAAACCACATGGAAAGATAAATTAATACACTGTAATAATCTAGATATAGCCCTATGAGAAGATATAATAATACACTGTAGCTAGATAAAGCCACATGAGAAGATAAATTAATACACTGTAATATTCTAGATATATGCCCTATGAGAAGATATAATAATACACTGTAATAATCTAGATAAAGCTACATGGAAAGATAAATTAATACACTGTAATATTCTAGATATATGCCCTATGAGAAGATATAATAATACACTGCAATATTCTAGATATAGCACTATGAGAAGATATATTGATTCATTGAAATAATCTAGATAGAGCCCCTTGGAAAGATATATCAATACACTGTATTAATCTAGATATACTATATATTGATGCACTGAAATAATCTAATAAAGCCCTATAAAAAAGAAAGATAAATTAATACACTGTAAAAATCTTGATATAACCCTATGTGAAGATATATTGATGCACTGAAATAATCTATTAAATCCCTATAGAAAAGAAAGATAAATTAATACACTGTAAAAATCTTGATATAACCCTATGTGAAGATATATTGATGTACTGAAATAATCTAATAAAGCCCTATAGAAAAGAAAGATAAATTAATACACTGTAAAGTTCTTGATATAACCCTATGTGAAGATATATTGATGCACTGAAATAATCTTATAAAGCCCTATAGAAAAGAAAGATCTATTAATACACTGTAAAGTTCTTGATATAACCCTATGTGCAGATATATTGATCCACTGAAATAATCTATTAAAGCCCTATAGAAAAGAAAGATAATTTAATACTCTGTAATTATTTAGAAAACTCCCCAAGGGAAGATTAATCAATACACTGATTAAGCCACACAAGAAGAAATAATTAACACTGTTATAATCTAATTAAAGTCACATGGGAAGATGTATTAAAACACTGTAAAAACCTTGATATAACCTTATGGGAAGAACTATTAATGCACTGTAATAAGCTTAAAGCCCCATGTTAAGATATATGGATTCACTATAATGATCTAGATAAAGCCTCAATGAAAGATTAATTAATACACTGTAAAAATCTAGAAAAACCTTAATGAAAGATTAATTAATACACTGTAAAAATCTAGATAAAACCTCAGTGAAAAATTTATTAATACACTGTAAAAATCTAGATAAAACCTCAATGAAAGATTAATTAATACACTGTAAAAATCTAGATAAAACCTCAATGAAAGATTAATTAATACTGTATAAATCTAGATAAAACCTCAATGAATGATTAATTAATACACTGTAAAAATCTAGATAAAGCCTCAATGAAAGATTAATTAATACACTGTAAAAATCTAGATAAAACCCCGAGGTAAAATCTACTCTATCAACGAGGGATATGAGGAAAAGTGGGAACCAGCGGTCAAAGAGTACGTTAAATCTAAGAAGATGGGAACACCTTATGGGAGCAGGTTAGATTTAAAGATTATCTCATTAGAAGAACGGCTTTTCTTCTAAATCAATTTTTCTCGGCATGTTTTTTAAAGATCAGTTATCATTACATTTTTTTGGGAAAAAGTAAAATGCCTATCAATTTTATGAATCTAGGTATATTGGAAGTATGGTTGCAGATGTACATAGAACTCTAAAGTATGGAGGAATCTTCATGTACCCTGCGACAGGTAATTGAAAATATGTAAATTGTACATTGAACATGTACAGAGTACGCGAGGTTTTTTGAACCCTGTGACCTTTCAAGCAAAGATGGTAATGCCTGATTCACGACGGTACCCCTTAAAGCTTTGTCTGATAAAGTATGAATTGGATATCAATATTTATAATTCTGAAAAATTATCATTTTCAATCATTGTTTCTCTACAAAAGAGACTTGTGCATTTCTACAGCAGGAAAAAGTGTAGATATTTTCAGACTTTAACACTCTATGAACCTATACTGAACTCTGAACTTTTGGAACGACAATATGTCTTCCACACTATATTGCTCAGATAAAGGTTTCAATGGTAGTTTTGTGAATTGGGCATTGCCATCTTTGTGCTGAGGGTAATATGAAATTACGTTTACATTTCAACAATTCATGTGTAACACAAAGTTTCCAGTGGCCGAATTTAAAGAATTTAAGCGGCGGTTTAAATTTAAACCGCGGCAGAAATATGGTTGGTTCCACCTAAAATTCTATCAAATGTTTCCAAGATTTAAGCCGGCGCTTAATTTAAACCGGGTTTTGGCAGATTTAAACCGCCACTCAAATTCTTTAAATTTGCATCTCAGGGTGCTTTGCGCCTCTTAATATTTTCCTCTTCATTTGATCAACCTTCCGTTGGGACCAAACGAAAGTGAAACTAGTCTGCTGAATCGAATTAAGAAAATGTACAAAATATCTTAAAGCACATTTTTCTAAAAAATTATGATCTGGAGGGTCTGTTTTGCGAGACAAATGTTTACCGTTTCTATTGTATTTGTTGTAGTGGACTCCCCTAAGGGAAAACTGCGAGTTCTGTACGAATGCATGCCAATGGCTTACATTATGGAGCAGGTATCCAATCATAATTTAGTCTTAGAACCTAGCGTGAAAATCTGTTGCCATTTTTTAGGAAGAATTTTGTTTTCGCGATAAAAATAATTTTTTTTCTCCTGAAACCTACAAAACATCCATCTATTATCAAATCGTTAAAAAATATTAATTTTAATCGAATTTAAGTTAAGCATTTAAAAGTATTTTAATTTATATTTGATGATCTAGGCCGGGGGTATGGCTAGCACTGGAACTAAACCTATTCTGGATATAGGTAAGCTTAAGTTAATTAAACTGAGGATTTAAAACGTTTGTTTCTGATATTGTTTGGAAAACATTTAAATTGAGGTTGAAGCTTCCCCCTTATACATTAGTTGTACAATGTCCATGATAACTTTCAAACAAATAATTTTGCTAAAAAAAACTTGTTCTGGGGCGGGAACTAAAGTGGCAAATTATAAAAATTATTTTTGTAGTTCCTACGAGTCTCCACCAGAGGTCTCCTATATTTCTTGGCAGTAAAGACGACGTTGAAGAAATTCTCGAGGTATAGATCATTCAATTTTTTAAAGAAGGGAGGAGGGGGGTCAATATTTTTTGCAGGATAATATTCGAGATAAAGTTAAACATGAGTTTTTTCGAAATTTACTCAAGAACTGTGATATTTCCTTTTAGAAAAAAGGAAGAAAAAATTTAGAAAATTGTATTTTTTTTGTTCATTTGCAAGGACTAAAATTTTTTAAGTTAACACACCATTATCATGTATAATATACAATTTTTTAACAATATTTTATAATTTAATATCTTTTCAACAATTAGGGAGAAATCTTCGTTTTTCTGTTGATTTCCTTTGTAGTCTCTTCTGCAGAAATATGCAATTCAATTTTTAAAGAGAATCCAATTTCAAAATTAGCAATCTTCATCATTTTTAAGGATATGTTCATGAATAATTGGATCTTTTGATTAAATGGAAATTAATATAAATTTTTTTCTTGAAAATTTGATTCTTCTGTTAGATTATTTTATGAATTAATTTTGGTTTATATTTTAGGTTATTGCTAAACATGCTGCCAAATAATCAATGGAGGATTATGCATCGAATCTAATTAGTTTTTAAGGATAAACTATGTTGTCATCATCATTTTATTATATTTATATTTTTATGAAATAAATTATTTCAAGTAAGATTGCTTTAAAATATTTACAGTGGCAATTGAAGATACGTGTATTGGAATGTGCAGCAAAGCTCTAAGTTGGGATTTTTGAAGCTAAATAGACCGTATATTTTATATATTTTTTGTCTCTGATGTAACCTTGTATCAAATTTATATTATGTTCAACGGTACCGCTTGTGAAACTGACATTGATAAATGATCAAAGATAAATGATTTTTCGATTTCAAATAATGAGCGAATATCGAGTCAAATTATTGAAAACATTGCATACATACTTATGTGATTATATCAATACAATGAAGACTAATTTTTGATCAAGTTTTTATTGATAACAAGCCTTTTTCGAATTACAAGTTTACACACCTTCCAATCGATAGCTTCTCTCATGTGTCCAAGTGTATTGTTTATGTGTATCCATGCTGATTAAAAGCTTGATATAAATCAAAATTGAAATATAAAGTCGTCTTCATTGTATTAATATATGCGACGACGACTGTACAATAATTAGACTAGAAATGAACGAACCGAAAATAACGAACTAATGGAATAAGATCGGATCTTCCAGTAGTTCTTGCCATTCTTTTGTTTTTCCCACTTTAGTCTACCAGTAGTCATCAGCAGCCTCTCCTTAGTTTTTCTTTAGGTAAAAGTACTTCCTGTTTCCAAATAGAGAACCTTTCTGTAGTAAGCAAGTACATTGTTACCCACAAGGATGAGACTGAAGACGACCAAATCTTATGATAAACGGACTGAACCAATTTCGTACAATCGTCTCTAAAAGGTTACCCTGTATATGATCGGGCGGGAAGGGTCGATTAATCCTGAATTGTATTCTATTCTGTTTGTTCTACACATCAATTATTGATTTTCTATGATTAACAATTTGATTTGTATCCCCCCCCCCCCTCTGTTAAAGCACAAAGTGAATAAACACAAAAATGGGCAAATCTCATAATTGGAGGACGACCTTTTATTCTTGCGGGGCCCTCATAATCTGTTTGCACTGTGACTGTTTACAGTAACATAGGTACCAGTACAAACGTTGGACCATAGATAAATAAATAAACATAGATAGCTTATGTACGCAAAATTACCAAGAATTGTACAGTCCGCGAACTCATACTTCTAAGGGTCAAAGTGAACTTCGATGATAAGCGGGTGGTTTGGTGTTTTAATGGATTTCATAATTATTAAACCACTCGGGAGTGAATTTTATTTTAAGAACTGAAGAAGGACATGAGAAGGACTAAACTAACTTAAATTTCTCTCTACAGAAGGCATGTACACCACAAGTACTCAATGACATAAGAACAGCCAATTTTCACCGACCTTGTTAATCTATAGGAATATCTTTAAAACATCTCTGTACATTTACAGGGTGTCCCACATCATATTAGACCGTCAACGGGTCTAAATTGCGATTTTCGGGACTAATAAGAAAATTTAATTATAATGAATCAATTTGAAAAATAACATAAGGCTTATATAAGAATTTTCTTGCGGAAAATGATAAGTTTTTCGAGTATTAAGGGTTTATTTTGTCGTTAAAGATTAGAGATAATCTAATATGATATGGGACGCTCTGTATATCTTTCAAGATGAAAAATGTCGTCTTATGCGCAATCTATCTTTATCTATGCGTTGGACTCACAAACGTCGGACGTCACAAAGGTCTGACAGTACAAATGTCGGACTGGTACAAACGTCGGGACTGGTGCGAACGTCGGACTGGGACAAAGGTCGGACTTGTATAAACGTCGGACCAGTACAAACGTCGGACGGGTGGAAAAACGTTGGACTTTGGTTGAGTTTGAATAAAGACCATTGCTATAGGAAATAAATTAAAAATCTCTCACTTTTTGTGATAAAAGTTAAAGACAACTGAATCCTTCGAAAGTAGCACTTTATGAAACAACAGACCAAAAAGGAGGTGAGTTCAATTGTCACAAACTCTGATGTTTATATCTTTGCAACCCGATGTCGTATAACCTTTAATATTTCAACCTATGAAATATCCACAACACAAAGTTTCTTCTTAAATCATTTGATTTTATTTGGATTTAAGTGTTTACACGGATGTCTTCGTAATTTTTTTTTATATTTCGCCAGATCCTTGATTTTGATAATTATAATGATTTTCTTATCTCTAATTTTAGTTAATACATAAGTGAGGGGTTTGAGAGCAAAAAACAGTTTTCTGATGTTTTTGATGATAATTAACCACTTCGATCTAGATCCGTGGATCACCATATTTTTGAAAACTTGGATCAGGATCAAGGAGCCAAAATACTGCAGATCCAATTGATCTGTATACTTCAAGCTGATTTTAGATTAATAAATTACTCTTCTCTAGACTTAAAAAATTATAGCAAGGATAAGTGTAAAATGTATTTAGTTTAATTTCTATGCTTGAATCATAACAAAATGAAGAAAAATAAATCGTAGGATAATAACAATGCATAAAGAGAAGGATATGTTTCAAAATATCTAAAATCCAAACTTTTTAAAAAGACCCTTTCCGCCCGATAAAAGACTCCCCGCCGCTCCTGTAGCACTGCCACCAAGATCCCCAAGTTTACCGGTGACCCCGCTAGCCGCCCCGGTCAAACCGCCAAGTCCAGACTGGAGGCCACCAGTTAAACCTCCGGTTAGACCTCCCATAAAACTGCCTTCAGCAGCGGTAGTTGTCGGAGGCTTAACAGCTTGCGGTATATCATCATCCAGACCTGGTATTTGATCAAGGTTTACTATGGGAGGTAGAGCAGGAGGAGGGGCTGCTGCCTGTTGATGATGCTGCTGTTGTTGCTGCTGCTGTTGTTGCTGATGTTGCTGCTGATGCTGCTGCTGTTGATGCATCATGTTCATTCCGGACATAGCAGGAGGAGCGGCAGCAGTAGAAGCAGCTGCTGCAGTGGACGCAGCTCCTACACCGGTCATCTTGGATATGCCACCAAAGAGACCTCCCATCAAACCAGTTTTAGCGGGTTGTGCTGGTTGCTGGGGTTGACCCATTTGGGGCATTCCAGGGCCACCAACTATCCCTCCGTTTTGCATAAACGCTGAAACAAAAAAATTGATTAATTCACATTTGAAAATTGGGTTGTAATAACATGGAAAACATTGGTTGAGTGATTCTGACTTTGTTCTAAAACAGTTGATTTTAAAGTGTCAAGTTTAGAGTTGGCTAACAAATTTTTGAGATTTTTTCTCCATTTGTTGATGTCCTGGGAGATGTCAAAAGCACTCTAGATCACAAACAACAGCGGGATTATTTACTACAAAAAAATCATTCGAATTCAGCACAAAGATGTTTTTATATTTAATACAAGGAGACGGAATTTTCCGTACAGGTCGTTGATATAGTGCAGTTATTGCATCCAATTAAAGGTAGTGTTGACTGTACGGTGAAAGGGGAATTACGACAAAGTGAGTCAACTTGACAAAACAAATTTTAAATGCAGATTTCTAAGCTGCTTAATCTCTGGCTTTTTGGTTGTTATTTTTTGTAAATGATATTCATTAAATAAAAATTAACCTCTCCCCTTTCAAAGTTTAACAACACTCTCTTTTAGACCCATAAAGAAGACATTCCTGATAAGTGTGTGAAAACGTTTCTAATAGTGTGTACAACCATACTTTTATAATATAATAGATAATATCCATAAATAGTTCACAGATTCAATCCTATAGTTAATATAGATCTGTGAAGAGTATGTAATTCATCTTTTTATAGGTTTCCTATAAATATATCTAGTTAGATTGGTTTATATACTAGACATAAATCTAAATAAATGTTTTGTGTATATTTTCGTGTTCAAATCACAAAAGCCAAATTAAGTAGAATTACATCAAAAAATATCCTTCGCATTTTTTAGTATTTATATTTAATCGAACAGGATATTTTTTATGGATTTCCACTGCACGATTAAACAGTTTAAGGTTACATTTACTAATATGTAAAATCACAATACTTCTGGCGAGGAACCAAATACGAGACCTATAGATATTTGCTGATAAAGGAAGATTTTCTAGATTTTCGTATATGATACAATTTAAAATAATGGTTTCAAAAAATCCTTTCAAATATTTTTCAACTATGGAAATACTTAAAAAGACGTCGTTATAATTTTAAGTGAGCTTCCTCTAGAGGGGTCATCAGATTCACAACCCTAACTTTTATCTGATCTGAAAACTCTAGAATGGGATATCCTTAATCCCGATCGGTTAATTAATCTGGAGATTAATAAAAAGAGGAGAACAAGCCAAATTTAATCTGGAGATTAAGAAAAAGAGTGGATTAAGCATTAATCCTGATATCCACAATTCAAAAGTGCCCAGCTCTGATCAATAATGTGGAAGACATTGTCGTTTTTCTACAGCGTGACAAGTATAAAATTTAGAAATTTCCTTCTTTGAAAAAAATACACAAGCTAAAAATTTTACTATTTTAAAAACTCAACTTTTGAAGGTATTTCATATATTCTTGATCAGTTGTTGAATGTTCATGTACCCTACGTTGTGAATCGAACATTCCATGTGCTCTATGAATGGACAGTCACTTCAAATTACTTGTACAGTCCCTTGAAATAATAACTATAAAAACACGAAATTTTTATTTAAGAAATATTGTTTTTTATTAGAATTAGATGAACCATCCTTGTGGAAAGGTTACAGGGAGTAAAACGGACATTTGTAAACAGTCACAATTAATATTTTGTGCACTTTACCAACAGGAAAACTTTTATATACTCTTTGCTTGACTACCACCATATTTATTTGGCCCATCGTTTTGTTTCATTTTGTTTAGGATAAAAATTAGTTTACGGTGAAAACAAAATAAAAATGAAGAAAGATGGAACGGGATAAATAAACGAAGAGCCACTCAAAGTTTATCTCGAGTCCCTTAAAATACCAAATACTTGCCGCAGGAAACAGTTTCAAATAGTAAAGATCTGGACTTAACAGTGATGTTGTTTTAACTAAATTTCAACCGAGTATCTTATTTTTTTAATATATTAATATAAAATTTACGATTTGTTCCTGTTGTTGTTTTTTATCAGTTAGATAGATACTCGGTTGGTGCCGCTAACAACATATACACATGTATGAAAGTTTCCAATTTTTTAAAAAAGTGCAAAAGTCTCAAAATAAACTGACATTAGACTTGGAAACTAAGAGTAGTTTTTTCCTGATAAAAATATTTGTGTATCGTTAATCTTGAACGCTTGATCTTGAAATTCAATGTGAGTACTTTCAAATTTGAGGATCAATGCGTTATCCCATAATAAAATTTTTTACTGCAGGATATCGAAGAGAAATTATTATCAATTAGATCAATGCTTAATACCGATATTCAATAAACAAAAACTCAGACTTCATAATAAAATGATAAATCTGAAAATTTTGGCCATTTTACTTAACCAACTTCATGAATAATGTTATGCTCAACTTTCCAAAGTTTATTTTGAGACCCATGCATTTTAAATTTGTATTCAGGCAGTTTTGTTTCTTGTTTCTTGTTTTTCATGGAATCCTTCATCTCTCTAGCTTACCCCTAATTTTGGCTAACCAGCTTAAGTAAGCCACAGTGTCGCGCACTGAATAATTCAAGTTGTTGAAAAAATATAAAAAAAAATAATAAAACGAAAAAACATTTGACGGCGACATTTTTTTCATTCATCGTAATATAAATAATTTTGAATAAATATAAATTAAGGATATAAAATAAATAATTTTTCCTCTAAATGTAAATTTTTCAATGCAAAAAGTTAAAAATATTACAATATCATTTACAACTTATTATGTGAAATTCAATTATTTTTTTCGACAATTGTCATTTTTTAGGATAAAAATAAACTAATTATTTATTTGTTTGGTAAGATTGTATTTGAGACTAACACAATATTTCAAGTCTGATAATCTTTTTTTAATATACAAAATTCAAAATGAGCTAAACAAAGCCCAAAACAAAGTTTTGTTTGACAAGCAACAATTTTTAATTAAGAAATAATTTATAATTTAACGTATTTGGAAAAATTTAGAAAAAAAAAGTTTTTGGCCAATTTTAAACTGTTTCTTTAAGAATTAGAATTAAACAAACTCTAGAGAAAACAGAATAAACTTATTAATATCAACAACTTCAATAACACTTTTTAACAAGTATTTTTAAATATCAAACCATTTCATTTCTTCATTTTGTCTTAAAGAAAAATTAAAAAAAAACTATAACATAGTAGGGATAACATTTGACTAATGATTTTTTTTAACAAAAAAATTTCCATAAAACCTCTTCTTTGCAAAAATTGATAAATTAAATAGGTATTTAAGTTTAAAAATGACTCTCTAAAAATCATACAAATTATTTTACAGTTTGTCATTCTTGGTGAATTTTAAAGAATAAATATTGTGGCAGGTTAATTTTTCAGGTTTGAATGTAAATAAAAATCAGGATATTTACATATTTATCAGTTATGAAGCTTGAACGACGAACGTCCTTGCGCTTGCTTAACAAAATTTTTACAGGGATATATATTTTCAGAATGATTTTTCATGATTTGGGAAAGGGGGATTTTGTTTTCAAAAGAGGAAGGAATGATTTCTTGGGTACATATATACCCCTAACTTTTTATTTTAAAGTGCAAAAAACATGAGAACACTCTTTGAGTTCCTTTACTCATTTTAAAACTATTAATGAACTTTTTCAACCCATACATCTGCAAATAGAAGCACATAAGATCCAGTTTTCCTAAATACCTGATACCTTTGAAAGCATCTATTTTTACATCTGACATGAGCTTGTGACTTTTAAATGCAATAAATAGTTTAAAGGAGAAGAAAAAACTTTGATATTAATGGCAAATACTTTGGTGACTTGACATAACAGAGATAAGAGAATTGAATAAACTAATTTGAGCCATGGCTCAGATTAATGGCAAATACTTTGGTGACTTGACATAGCAGAGATTAGAGAATTGAATAAACTAATTTGAGCCATGGCTCAGATTAATGGCAAATACTTTGGTGACTTGACATAACAGAGATTAGAGAATTGAATAAACTAATTTGAGCCATGGCTCGGATTACAAAGTCTGGGGAAAACATAAAACTACAGAAACAGTTCAGTTTGAACTTAAACATTTGGAACTTTACTCAATTGATGTAGGAAACAGATTGATCAAAAACTTTAATCGTCATGAAAAAAATTGTCACAAAAAATGTGTTGATTCTAAATAGTAATTCCAATAAATAATCCCCTGTTAACATAATATATATATATTTTTTATATTACTTTATCACAGAATTAGCCATTTAAAAAAGCTTCAATCTTTAAAAATATTAAATATTTTTCTAACTACAAATCTTTAATCCAAAGCATTAAGTCTACTTGAAAAATATTACTGATCTTGAGCATTTTAAAGCAACGTCTTAGAGAAAAAGGCGTCTCTTCTGTGCAATTAAACTCATTAAAAAAGTCAGCGTTACAATGTAAAAAGTAATATTGAGGTTCGTAAAATCCGCGAACCAAAAAGTATTTTTTTTGTGCTTCCTCCAATTTAAACACAGTCCGGTCTTACTTGCTAAAAGCTCCAGAATTTCAGAAACAAGTTTTTCTGGAATTAAATATTTTTCAGAGCTACGGTATTAATACTTTGACAGTTATAATTTAAATATTTAAATTGTTTAAAAACACCTACTTTTCTCCTTGGTTAAAGCAGTAGTTATGGATTATTTTTCAAAACTTTAGAATATTTAGACAGTAAAGTTCTAATGTATATTTTAGGTTGAAGCTTTTTAAAAAGTGCATAAGTTCATGTTAAAAAGGTTTTGAAAGTTAAGTGATAACAAAAACAGTGGAATAATTGTCCTCTTTGTTTTCTTGTTTACTTTGTTAAAACACTACGAATGTTATTTTGTTTTTTAAAGTAGAAATAATATTTCTTTTTCAGCGATATATCATTTATAAAGTAACAAATACAAAAAAAATTTTCTTATAGAGAGAATGTAGACGACAATCTTCCGCTGTTTACTTATTATCAACAGGTAACCTTTGTAGCACAATATTTTCAGCGTTCAATAAAACCTGGAATAAGATTTTTTTAACCGGGGTTTTTATTTTTGTTATTTAATTCTTTGGGATAACAAAAAACTAAGTTTTACAAAAACCTTAAAATTTTATAGAAATTAGAAGGAGACTTCAAGGAGGAAGGGAAGGAATTATAAAGAAACTTACAACCCTGATTTCAAATGAGTCACAAATTGATTTGCTTATTTTGACAAAAAATTTAGATTATAATCGCTTGTTGTATTTTTATTTCCAGATTTTAACTGAATGCTATATATATTATAAACTTACAAGGTTCCGAAGATCGTCAATATTTCATACAATTACAATGTTTTCTTCCTGCATAATATTCAGGGTTAACAAATCTATAGTTTCAATTTATGTAATTTTACGAAAGAATTATATAAATTTTACGCTCAATAAATTTATCAGTCAAGTTTGCAAAACCAATATAGATATAAATGGAAGAAAAAAGCATATTTATCTTAATAATTAAAACAGTAAATGGTTTCCTTAAGTGAAGAAAAGAAAAATGTCGAAAATGTTGATATTAGGACCGAATTAACCAAATGTAATAAAAGATGATAGCATGTGAAAATATAAACAATCTTGAAATTGGCCACACATTTTTAAGTAAATAAGTATTCTGGTGTGCTATATACAAGTTTTTTTTTTCAGAGGTCATATCTTTCTTTTATTTTTTTTCATTAAAATAGATTTGAATTCTCGAAAACATTTAATTTTCAAGGTTATTGCTTTATTAATTATTGTTAACATTTAATTTTTTTTAAACAAGGAACTGTAGAGTGTAGACGTAGTCGAAAGTGACCCTCCATTTGAAAAAAAAGAAAGGCATGCCCGATTGACAATGGTATCTTTAAGCTTTGTCTGATCAAGAATGCTTGAGAAATCTATAAGTTTTCTTTAAAAATTGGTAATTTTTTAATGTGGTTTCTCTCTTAAGGGGTTAGCAGATATCTTGCTGAATTAGCATTTCAGAAAGTTATGAGCTAACACTTTCTAAGTTAGAAAAACGAATCTTCCACTGATACCGTTGTGAATCGGCTGAAATGGAGGGTCACTTGAAATTACAAAGACAAAGTCCCTTTAGAGTAAATCAGCATAAGCTCCAGGTATGCATATATGCTATGCTGTAGGCATCATCTAAACTGCCTTTCGGCTTTCATGCGTGAAACGCAGCCAAAAAAATTAAGGAAATTTAACCCCAAAATCTAATTAACAAAAATTCTCTTTAAAAAAAAAAACTTCTTGTCACTGTACGAACATTCTCTATATATATTCCCTATGTGAACAAAAGAAAACGTGGAGTAATGTAGCAAACGCACTGGTTTGTAAAGTTTTGTTAACAATATCAATATTGACAGTAATTCTATAAACAAGATTGCAAAGGAATTGATGCTTTGCCACAAACTCTGATTTTCTAATCCCTATAGTTTATCAAAACAATGTCGTAGCAAATTATTAATTATCTCATATCAAACCGTTTAAGTTTGAAATATTAAAGGTTTACACCATCAGATTGCAAAGATATGGGGATTACAAAATCTGAGTTTGTGGCAAAGACTCAATTCCTTTAATAATAAGTTTTAACATTCATTAATTGTTTTAGCTCTAAAAAGCCTCAACAAAAGTTTTAGAAGTCTGAAATATTTTAACAATTGTATTATTATAATAATTATAATTATTTATATAATTGTATTATCTAGAAGTTTGGTTTCTTACAATTTTGAACTCTGAGAGAACAAGAACGAATTTTTCGAATTCTTCAAAATCGTTGCGCTCAGCAAAGATTTGTTTTGCAATGATTCAGGTAAATTTAGGCGAATGACTTCTGTAAGAATTAACATTTTGCATTATTTTATAAACAAAGCAATCTTTAAAATTTTCGATAGACTTCTAGGTGTATATATAAATAATATATATCCATGCATATCCATAAATAATATATTATATAGATATATAATTCAAATGGAATTGTGGATGAAATATTATTAATCTATGTATAAATTAGTAACATTTTATTATATTTTTATTAGAGATTTCTGAAATAATTAAAAAATAACATTTTTATGATCCATTGAGTTCAGTTAAGATAAAAAAAGAAAATTGTGTTAAATCATAATCTAATTATATTTCATTCTAAGAATCCTTAATTTTTTCGTAAACATTCTCTTTACACAACAAAATCCGTGCACTTATATGCTTTTAATCTGTTTATATTTTTTATAAAGTTTGGAATGAAAACTTTTGTCCAAAAAACAATTGATAATAATCAACATTTTAGTTGAAAGTTTGATATTTCAGAAATATGTAATGACTGATATAATTTTAAAATATATTAAATAACAATTATTATCAACATGATCGTTGTTCCTATTGATATTGTATTGATAGAAGTTCAACTATTTATTGTTGAAATTTCTTACACCAAATTTTACATGACAGACTTTTTCTGTTTAAATGACTTTTTAACATGGAATTGAGACATTTGGGAAGAAATGGTAATTAAGAGCAAATTAATTATACCTACGTTTTTAAACGAAATTTTGAATGTGATAGATTTGTTTGTTTTTTTCTTCACAAGAGTTAACTTTTGATTGTGAATAAATAAAAAATTGGCTCTATCAAATCTTTCCAAATCCATAAAAAATGATGAATAATTCAATGCACAATATGCTGTAAATACATTTAGTTTTGGTTCAAACACTTGATTGTTAAATGTTTATGTTGACAGAGCTGAAAATTTATAAATGGAAATAGGTTATTAAACCATCAGTTTGCAAAGATATACAGGGATTAAAAAATTTGATGCAAAAGTTTGTGGCAAAAACTCAGTTCCTTTCTTGTGAGAGTGGGCAGGGACACCCCCTTCCCCTTAGATTATATTCTGTAAACGCTCCTGGAACCAGCTGATTCAAATACTGCTTATGAGAAATAGTTGAACCGATCATACATAATAAAACTATCTCTCCTTCATTTATAAATTTCCATCTCATAAAATTTCACAGTTGTTAATCTTTTTAATTTTCAAACACAGACAACAACTTTCCAGTATGTTCATTTAAAATATATTTTTTTCTGTAAACGCCATTAATGTGTTTACAACAGTGCCTTGATTGAATTGTGAAAGTAATTCTAGGTGAGTTTTGAATAAATTTGAATATAAAATCCCTTTAAAGAGGCACAAATGTGTTTTTTAAATATTGGATGGAATCAATTTCGACCATTATTCTCCCATTCTTTGCTGTAGGTTTAATTTTCTTAATATGATCACAAAAATATCCCCCATTAAAGTTAATTTCACGTTAGATTGAAATCTTTCATGTTTTTAATCAGAACTCCTATTATTGAATAGCCATTACTGAATACTCTTACTCGGATTCTCATTTATATATGACTTCGTCATAGTTACTCTTTAAAAAATATTATAGGTCACCTAGAATTTCTCCGACAATCATTCAAAAACTATTTTTTGAAAATATCATTTCGAATTTTCAATTATCTTCTATTTTTTATTAAAGGCACTGCATTCCTTGCCTTTTTTATATCTTTTCACAACATGACACTGTACAATATAAGTTGAATTTATACCTAAAACCTAAATTTTACCAAATACCCCCTTGTCCTGAAAATGAATAGCGTATTATTATCAAAAATATGATTTTATCATCTTTTAATAAAAGGGCAGCATTAAGTGTAACGAAAAAGAATAAAACGTTATTTCAAATTTGGAAGATTTTTCGATAAAAGTTAATTAACTTGAATTAACTTGAATTAACTTGAATTAACGTTTGGTGTTTCTAACACATAACAAACATTTAACTTACTTGATCTGCCCTGGCCTTGCTGGTTCATTCCGGGCATCCCGGGCATTCCCGCCATACCCGGCCTGGGCGCCATACCGCCCTGGACCATCCCACCAACACCGGTGTATTGTCCTGGGGCCTCCGTCAGGAAGTTGCTAATTAAAACAGATTGAAATAATTTTAAAAGTTTTGGAGGAAAATGAAAAATCGGAAATTTTAAGCGACAGTTGACGTAATTACAAAAGAACCTCCATTTAACAAGGTAAAAACCGATTCACACATTTATTTTGACTATTTTTTTATACTTCTACAATTTTTTTTTATTTGACCCCTTAATAATTTTTATCATTTGGAAAACCCTATAAAAACATGTAATTTACGCTGTTACCCAAATAGGATAAGACGGTAAAGACGACTTAAAACTCTTCAAATGGCATTTTTAAAGGGAGTGTTCGCGAAAAATGAAAGGGGGCATAGGCTTACGGCGAAAAATAAGCGCTTTTGATTTCTACTAATCTTACTGTTATCGTCTAAGGAGAAATTTGTTAAAATCGACTTTTGCTGAATAACGTAGCATCCACCCAAATTGAAAAAGTTGCAATCCACGTCTAGGCTCGTAAATTAAAATCAATTTAATTTAAAACTAATTATTCAGATTTTACAACCTATAGTCATCGATTTGTATATAGTCAATTTTTCATAATATTTTTTACTTCTTTTATATACAATGCACTTAAAATAACGGTTTTTTCCGCTAGGTGTCTCTACCACGTTGAGGCATCTGGCGGACAAACTAATCGGCGTTTTAAGTGCATTGTATATGAAATATTAACAATATACAAATGCATCGAAAAATAGTCGATGACTAAAGGTTGTAGTTTTGATATTAAATTGATTTTTTACGATCCAAGTCGTGGATTGCAATTTTCTCAATGTGGGTGGATGCTACGTTATTCGGTACAAGTCGTTTTTAACAATTTTCTCCTTTTAGACGCAACAGATAGAAGTAAGATTAGTAGCGATCAAAAGCGCTTATTTTTCGCCGTATGCCTATACCCCCTTTATTTTTTCGCGAACACTCCCTTTAATGATTGGGCAAAGAAAGAAACAAGCATTTATTTGCAGAGAATCTTAAATATAGGAATACATACGGTATACATTCCGTTCAATCGTCTCTGAAGTTTCACTCTTTGTGTGTACCCCTGTATTGGTGTATATGTATTTTATATAATGTGATGTATGCTATAATCTATTTCCCTTTAATCTTTTTTCTTAAACACTCATTTTCAACAACAAACTTCAAACTTCTGACCTNCCTAAGATTGCAATCTAACTTTTGCAATCTCTGAAAACCCGTACAACAGACAGAATGAAAAATTAAAGGAATGGGCTCTAAAACGCAGTGATAATCATCTTTCTAATTTTAATAAAACCAATATATTCAATTAATGTTTTTCCTTATTCAGCTGCAAAAAAAACTCTAAGTGATAAGAGGAGTTAAATTATGTCCCTTTGCATAGAAGTAAAGTTACAAAATTATGATTAATGTCTGGAAAATTGTAAAGGGGTGTACAATCTCTCAGATTTTACACCTCTGTTTACCTGGTCAATATTTCTTTGTAAATAGGGGGATACCCCTGGTTACCTGGGAACTGGTCCCCAGTATAGTGGGGATTATACACCTCTGGTTACCTGGGAACTGGTCCCCAGTATAGTGAGGATTATATACCCCTGGTTACCTGGGAACTGGTCCCAGTATAGTGGGGATTATACACCCATGGTTACCTGGGAACTGGTCCCCAGTATAGTGGGGATTATACACCCCTGGTTACCTGGGAACTGGTCCCAGTATAGTGGGGATTATACACCCCTGGTTACCTGGGAACTGGTCCCCAGTATAGTGGGGATTATACACCAATGGTTACCTGGGAACTGGTCCCCAGTAAAGTGGGGATTATACACCCCTGGTTACTTGGGAGCTAGTTCCTTGTGAAGAAGGGGATTGCACAACCCTGGTTACATGGGAACTATAGTCCCCTTGAAGGGGGGATCATACACCCCTTATTAACTAGAAACTAGTCCCTATGAAGGGGGGATTATTCACCCCATGGTTACCTGGGAACTACTTCCCTGTATAGTGGGGATTACATATACACCCCTGGTTACCTGGGAACTAGTCCACAGTATAGTGGGGATTATAAAGCCCTGGTTACCTGGGAGCTAGTTCCCTTTGATGGGGGAGACTTTACACCCGTGGTAACCTGGGAACTAGTTCCCTATATAGTGTGGATTACATTTACACCCTTGGTTACCTGGGAACTATAGTCCCCTGTAAAGTAGAGATTACATACACACCCCGGGGTTACCTGGGAACTAGTTTCCTGTATAGTAGGGATTACATATACACCCCTGGTTACATGGGAGCTAGTCCCCTTTGATGTGGGATTCACCCATGGTTACCTGGGAACTAGTTTCCTGTATAGTGGGGATTACGTATACACCTGGTTTGTATAGTGAAGTTTACAAATACACCCCTTGTTACCTGGGAACTAGTCCCCAGTAAAGTGGGGATTACATATACACCCCTGGTTACCTGGGAACTGGTCCCAGTATAGTGGGGATTATACACCCCTGGTTACCTGGGAACTGGTCCCCAGTATAGTGGGGATTATACACCCCTGGTTACCTGGGAACTAGTCCCCAGTAAAGTGGGGATTACATATACACCCCTGGTTACCTGGGATTCCCTGTATAGTGGGGATTACATATACACCTGGTTTGTATAGTGAAGTTTACAAATACACCCCTTGTTACCTGGGAACTAGTCCCCAGTAAAGTGGGGATTACATATACACCCCTGGTTACCTGGCCCTGGGATTCCCTGTATAGTGGGGATTACATATACACCTGGTTTGTATAGTGAAGTTTACAAATACACCCCTTGTTACCTGGGAACTAGTCCCCAGTAAAGTGGGGATTACATATACACCCCTGGTTACCTGGGATTCCCTGTATAGTGGGGATTACATATACACCTGGTTTGTATAGTGAAGTTTACAAATACACCCCTTGTTACCTGGGAACTAGTCCCCAGTAAAGTGGGGATTACATATACACCCCTGGTTACCTGGGATTCCCTGTATAGTGGGGATTACATATACACCTGGTTTGTATAGTGGAGTTTACAAATACACCCCTTGTACCTGGGAACTAGTCCCATGTAAAGTGGGGATTATATATACACCCCTGGTTACCTGAGATCTAGTCCCCTGCAATGGAAGGGGGATTATATATACACCCCTGATACATTGGGAACTACTCTCCCGTGATGGGGGGGGGGGGGAAATTATACATCCCTGGTTTTCTGGGAACTAGTCCCCTGTGGGGGGGATTTTTCAATGTACATTGTACACCCTGTTTACCTGGGAACTATAATCCCCTGTAAAAGGAGATTATACACCCCTGATTGCATAAAAACATTCCCATATAAAGGGGAATACGGCCCTGATAAACTGGAAACTAGCCCCTGTAAATGGAGGATTAAACACCCCTGATTACCTGGGAACTAGACCCCTATGACCCCTGAGCTCTGCCATATAGAACCCGTCATCATCCATATCCCCGAACACTGTTATTATATCTCCAGTTCGGAAAGACAGTTCCACCTTCGTAATAAAAATATTATTAAAGGGAATGTTGTTGATATTTTCACAACCCTTTGAAGCTTTAACAGATGAATTTTGAGAAAAATTTATTCAATTATAATAATTTACTCTATTGTTTCTCAAGTCACTTTTAAAGAGAAGCCAAAATTTAAAATATTCAGATTAAGAGGTTGATATTTCATTCATTCTTGATAAGATAAAGTTTCAAAATATACCATCGTCAATCAGACATGCCACTCTATAAATGTTGAATAACATTTTTGTAAGGCAAACATGTGCCATACATGGGGGAGGCCTCAGGGGGGGGGGTGCTAAAATTTAGATTTTATGCATATAGTTTGTAGCACACCAATTCAAAATAATAAAAAAAAATTAAAGTTTGAATTATTTTATCCATTACTTATTTAAACGGTTAATATAAACCAGATTGACATTTTGCAAATAATTCAAAGGATAATTATAATTTGAATTTCGTGATCTACACTCTTATTTAAACACAAAAATATCTTCTAAAACCCTAAGAATCAGAATATTTAAAGGGGTGGGGGGGGGGGGAGGGTATAGAACTGATCGAGAAATTTTAAAGTCTTTTAATCATAGTGCTTGTGTTATTAACTAAAGTTGATTAACAAACAGGTTTACCCACATAGGGATGAGACTTCAGAGACGACTGTACGGAATGTATACTGTCTGCTTCCTTATATTCACATTTTGCTGTAAACCTCTGTGTTCCCTTGCAAAATCATTAAATAAGCCATTGAAAGACTATATTAAAAGAAGAAGGATTTATCAAATTATTGAATGAGGTCGTCTTTACAGTCTCATCCATTGTGGGTAATTTATTTATTAAATGCGTCGGTTACCTCTGAGTCCACATTAGGTGAAAGTTCTAACGGATCATAATCATAAAGAGCGATCATCTTTTTTGTTGGCGTGTTAGCGTAGATATCTCCCCACCGATCTCGTTGCATTCCACCCCGGCCTCGGTTTCGCTGATCATCCTGTAACAATGAACATTCCAGAGCCCGTTCTCTCCATAATAATGTTTAAACAGTGGCCGTGTTGTTCACGTACTTTGGGGGACGATAGTTTGGCCGCTAGGTGTCTCACGCAAAATTCTTATCTGATAGATAGATAGTTCTTACGAGAGACATCTAGCGGCCAAACTATCGTCCCCCAAAGTACGTGAACAACACGACCACTGTTTAAACATTATTATGGAGAGAACGGGCTCAGAGTATATGACGAATTATATAGTCTTTTTTTCTTGCATTCCGCTCAAACCTGTACAGTGTATAGAGAGAACGCAGAGTACATGGAAGTACACAAGAGCACTATACAAAGAGTACACAGAGTACATAAAGTACATAAAGTACTGATGAAGGGGTACATGGATCAAAGGCTTTTAACAGTTCTCTGTACTAGCATTACGTATGAATATTTTCATAAAACAAGGTACATACTACAAAGTGGATTACTTCGAGTGCATTGATTGAAGATGAGGGGTACAATGAGTACATAACTTCAATAGTTATTTAGCTATAACACGTTCATTATCGACAAGGTACAAGGTACGACACGGTGGTCTGGTACTTAACGTACATAACTTAAATAATTCTCTAGCCACACGTTCATAATCGAATTGTACGTCAGAAATCGTGTTAAATTGGTACATATAGTACAGGGCGTACATAGAGTACAAATATAGTACATAAAGTACAGAGAAGGGGTACATATAATACCTTTAATAATTCTCTAGCTACACGTTCATCATCGACTTGTACTTCAGAAATCATGTTACAAGGAACATATCCAGATAAACCTCCACACTCCCCCCAGTAGAATCCATCAGCGTCTTTCTCACCAATTATCTTAACAAAATATATTTTAATTCTTACATCAACAAAACAATCTACGAAAAATCGAATCTACCTTTTCATCATAAAATTGTAGAAAATTTCAAATCATGTCTGAAGTCTTTTATAATAAAATTGTTTAGATCAAAAATCTTGCTCACAATATATTAAAACTAATTTTCATTAATGAACTTGTTTACATTCAAGAACTTGTTGAAATTCAAGAACTTGTTTACATTCGAGAACTTGTTTACATTCGAGAACTTGTTTACATTCGAGAACTTGTTTACATTCGAGAACTTGTTTACATTCCAGAACTTGTTTACATTTAAGAACTTGTTCAAATTCAAGAACTTGTTTACATTCGAGAACTTGTTTAAATTCAAGAATTGTTTAAATTCAAGAACTTGTTTACATTCGAGAACTTGTTTACATTCGAGAACTTGTTTACATTCCAGAACTTGTTTAAATTCAAGAATTGTTTAAATTCAAAAACCTGGTTTACATTCGAGAACTTGTTTAAATTCAAGAATTGTTTACATCGAAGAACTTGTTTACAGTTAAGAATGTGTTTACATTTGGAGCTTGTTTACAGTAGGAACTTGTTTACATTCAAGAACTTGTTTAAATTCCAAAAAATGTGTTACCTTTATCAGCTGACCCTCTCTAAACGGAAGTTCTTCATCACACGCTTCAGGGTTGGGAGACATGGTCGGGGGGTCGTAATCAAACAGAGCAACAAATATCCTAAACAGCATTAGTACAGTAAGAACCAGAAGACTGTGTAATCAGAAGACGTATCAATAATTAAGTGTATTTGATGCTGTTACACAAAAAATAGTTTTAATAGTAACATATTAAAGCTTCCTATTTTACGATTGTCTGGTTTACACTGTAGAAGAAACCCAGAAATTTTAATAATATTTAAGTAAGCAAAAGCATTTTAAAATGACTAACACAATGATAGAGATGTAAAAATTTGTAAGATATTCCTAATATTAGAATTTCCAACAAAACGTTCTAAATCTAGTTTTTATATTTGTATATTATTAAGTAATAGTGATGAATTCTTAAATATGAAAAAATTAAAAAGTATCGGCGGATATGAAACTCTTTAAATGAAAGATCCATCTCTTATTAAATTATTGTTAAACGTTTTAATGTTACAGGTTGCAACTGAAGCTCTATGACTTACTTTACTATTAGACTCTTAAGTTATGACTTTAAATAGGCCATTGAACATGAGGCACAGTAATTGTGCAGTGTAAGCAAACCCTTTTCACTTAATAAGTATTTTAATAACTTACAAGTAAAGTTATTTGCTTTGTAGCGACATCAAATGTTCTTTAGTATTAATGTAATTTTGTCTACCTATTCTACAGTTTTCTGGTTATGACTGTAGAAATTGTACCGCCGTATCTGGTAGGAATGCAAAATAAATATAGTGCGGCAAACACAAAGTGTTGTTTACATTCCTTAAATAAACTGCAGTACAGTTTATTGTAAACAAAGATAATGGGAAAAGGGGATCGATTTTTATATTCTTTATTTTAACTGACATTGTCAAAACAAGCGGCTCTGTGAGACTATTTTTCTTTTGTAAAATCAAATTTGCCATGCAATGACTCTTGGACGAAAAAAAACAATAGCTTTGTGTCAACTGTTTAATTTAGGACCAATAAATCGGATGTTTTGGGACTTTTCCAAAGTTCACCTTCTAATACCCAAGTCCATGCATATTCCCAGTGAGAATTGTGGAATTTAAAAGGGAATGTACTCGTAATTTCAAGTGACCCTCCATGCAAAGATGGCATTGGCCGATTTACAATGGTACCCTTGATCCTTTTATCTGAAGAATAATGAGAAAGACATTGTCGCTTTTCAAGGTTTAAAAGTATTTACTTCTGATTAACCCCATTTGTTTTCCTGCTGTAGAAATGCGCAAGCCACTTTTGTAGAGAAATCCCAATTGAAAATTATAATTTTTCAAATTTATAATCATTGATATCTAATTCATGCTTGATCAGACAAAACTTTAAACGTACCGTTGTGAATCGGACATTGCAAGGTTTGCATGGGTTGAATTAATCTTACAAAACCCTTTGAATATATATGGTCCTGGAATATATATGGTCCTGGAATATATATGGTCCTGGAATAAATAACGAGAACTCAACCTAACCTGCTTTGTCCTCGTTCTCTACTATATCCTCTACCCCTCCGTCGTGCTAGACTAGCTGCTCGACCTCCACGTCCTCCACCTCCTCCATAGCGTTCTTCGTCACTGTAGAGCTCCTCGGAGGCTGAATCACGGGATATTTCTGTCAACATGCGAGGAAAAAAGGAGAAATCAGCATGCGATTAAAAAATGCAAAACTAACTGGAATTCTATTAAATATATTGTAGAGTTTCTGGAATGTTTTTACCCATAATTCGTAAATATGATCATTATGTTTTTCCTGAAATTTTCGGAAATTGGGAATCGTTCTGTATCATTCCTTTCTTACGGAAAATTCCATTTTACGAGAAAAAATATTCCCAAAACGTAAACTCAAAACGAAAAGACAACAATGCTTCAGACCAGCTCTTTCACAAGAGGATTAAGTAACTATCCGTGTTTTGAGTCTTTAGATCTTGGTCACTTTGTAACTTCCCTAAAAATGTATTTAAATACCATTTAAAGAATGGATTGCTTGAAAATTGTAAACAAAAATATTAAAATCTATTTAAATCTTTGTTCTACTCAAGTCAATATTGAATTGAAGAATTATTTAAAAATTAAACAAACATTTTTTTTTCAATCGCAAAAAAATCAAAAAAAATTCTCTTTAAAATAAAAAGTTGTTGAAACAATAATATTCAGGAATCTGTAAAGCATTAAGTCTTTACGCACATAGTTAAATCCCTAAAATATTTTTTTTAATTTAATTGAAAGAGATCAAAGAAATAAACAGATAATTGTTACAAAATTTTTGCTTTCTGTTTAGACATTTTAAAATATATCTTTTGACTTGGGACTTGACTTTAAAGAGTTAAGCAATAAGAAATTTCAAAAATATTTAAATTTTGTAACTTTTCTTGTGAGCTCAAACCTTTACCTAGAATTGCTAATCCGAAAAGTGTTTATATGTCTTAAAATATGGTCTAAAATTTAAAAAAAATATCGAAATGTTTTAATACAAACTATTTACAATTTTGTTACAATATATATGTGCACGAACACGTATTAAAAATGCATGTTGTCCTTCTTATTCAAAACTGTTGATCTGTAAAAGATTATATGCAGTAATACTTTGCCAAGTATACAAATAGGCAGAATGGCAATGTTTGCTTTTTGAGAGAATATACACCTAGTTTTCAAATAATGAAAACTAGTTTTCTCATCTAATCAAAATCGTTGAAGGGGATCTTAAAAGTGGGAACAGTGTTATTGCTATTTTTTATGACAGCCATATTTATTATTTTTACATGAACTTACTGATATTTACAAAATATACTTAATGTATTCAAATGAAATCAAATCAGAATATTATATTTACAAAAAATCAAAAATACATGCATTTTATGGAAACAGAACAAATCTAAATTATTAATAAGCTAGCAAATTTTAATTCCACTATTTTGAATCATATTAAAGTATCTTTGTATTTAATTTTATTCAAAAGATCATTAATTCTGGAATTCTGGTTCAGTGTGTCATAGTTGATGATATTTCTTGATTATGTTCAAATTAATAAAATAAAGAAATGAAATTACGATTATAGATTTAGAAAACGCATTTCAAGTCAAACTTTCAAAACAAATCAACACCACAAAAACTTGCTTGACTTAATGTCGGAAAAAGATTGAACAAATGTGCTGAATACTTTTGTCAAACTCAAAATTCCACATCACTCTTTCTTTCAACATGATGATGTTATAAACCTTTGCTATTGAAAACTTAAAACTTTCTGATTTAGCAGATCTACGGCATCAGGTTAAACAGATTTCAAGTTTTTTAAAATAAATCAATAGGCTAAAATAAATCCATGAGTTAAAATAAGATAATCTCACCTATTGCCGGGATATTTTTACTAAATGTTTCCTTGTCACTGAGATTGTCTTCATCGTGATCTATCACCATCTGGACGGAAAATATTTTTAAATCAAAATAATGATTTTATTATTTAAAAACGGTCAAACAAAGAAAAATTAAGGCCTCGCCTCATGGACAAAAACGGGATGTCACTTAATTATCCCAGTGGGCCATAACTAATAATGTAACATAATTGGTTTAATAAATGTTCCATTATTTACTATTCGCTCTGTCCTTAAATAATTAAATATGCCCATTTAAGAATATTACCTGTCCCTTCAAGAATTGTACCTGACCCTTTAACAAGGGTACCAGTCCCTTTTATAAAAGTACCTGTCCCTAAATAAGAAAAGTACCTTTCCCTGTTATAAATGTACCTGTCCCTAAATAATAAAAGTACCTGTCCCTGTTATAAAAGTACCTGTCCCTAAATAAGAAAAGTACCTGTCCCTGTTATAAAAGTATCTGTCCCTGAATAGTACCTGTCCGGATATGTCCCTCCTGACTCCCCTCCTGGCTGCTCCTCTACCCATCCTGTATCCGTTCCCCATCCTTCCTCCTCGCTCGCCAATCTTCCCCCTACATCACAATTTTATCAGTTAAAGAGACTGTCACCGAAATTCGAAATGTTTCTATCTTGTTCATCACAGGCATTCTCACAGGGAAATTCCCAAGTGTCAAATGTTAATAAACATTGTGTTAATTTTATCTCATAAACTTTATTTCAGTTTGCTATTTCCTAAAAGGACATTTTACCAAATGTCTATCTAGGCCACAGCAATTTGGAAAAAATCACTACCAATTTTACATTTTAAATTTAAAATTTAAAAATTGAGATGAAATAAAGGATGTAAAAAAAAATTTGTCATTTGATAATTGAAAATTTCAATACAGGGTTACCTACAAAGAATATAACGTTATTGACGATCTAAAATTTTTTTGTAATAATATAAAGAAATACGGGGTTTTAGCATTTTAATATGAAAAAACTATCTGACACTGAAAGAAAAAACTTATCGGCTGTAGGTAACCACGATGTAGAAAAAAGGCGGAATAAAATCTTTACTGTGTCGTCTTTGAGGTCTCATGCTTTGTGGGTATATTCGATATTCTATTAGAAAATTCGCTCGGCGCGGCTTATGTAAATTCAACTTGAGATTAGCTATTTACGATAAATGCTATACATAATTCATTAAAAACTACTTTAGAAAAATAAAGAAAGCAAAATTTAATTTGTTTATTTAAAAAGACAATAAGCGTAATTCCAAAATAATTTAGTTTTTCCAAGTTTAAAAGTTTTTTTTTTGATAATTCCTATATATTGTACTAGCCATAGAGGGCGCTTCGCGCCCATCTTCTAAATTAATTGTGAACATGTTCTCTTGGTGTACATCGTAAAACAAAACAAAAATAATTCGCGGATTTTCACAAAAAATTTCGTGGATTTTCAAAATTTTAAAAAATTTAAT